GCAAGAATGTCGAGTTCAAGCTCCAGAAGAAGGAACTCAAGGAGGAGTACTGGCCTCGCCTGCTCAAGGAGGCCAAGAAGGTCCACTTCCTGAAGACCGACTTTGACAAGTGGGTCGATGAGGACGAGCAGGATGAGGCTGCCGAGGAGGATTTCTCTCAGTTCGGCGGTATGGGTACGTGATTTACAAACTCCCTTGCAACTCAACACCCCGCCATGGCGGATTACGGTGCAATAGAGCCTTTCCAATTGCAAAGACTAACACGTTCGTTTACTAGGTGGCATGCCTGGTATGGGTGGCCCCGGCGGCGGCGACTTCGGCGGCATCGACTTCTCCAAGCTTGGCGGCGGCGGCGCACCGGGTATGGAAGGCTTGGGAGATATGGAGGACGAGGAAGATGATGAGGATGACGATGACATGCCTGCCTTGGAGGGCGAGGAGGACGACGGCAAGGCCGCACCTGCTGCTGACAAGGCTGCTGCGAAATAAGCAATCTCTTCCTTTAACACGCACCCGAGACGACTTTCCCGGCACTTAGGCCAGCAATCTTGGCTGCAACGCCCGTGGATACCGCTCTAGACTAACGACTATGAATGTACTTTTTCGAATCAAAAGACCAAAAGAAAAGACGACACGTGATCTGTGGGATTGGTTTCTACTTATTTAAGACGAGAACTCAAGGTGTGGTAGGCATTTAGCGAATGGATATCATGATTCTCTGAGCATTCTTTCGAATCCCACCGTGGAAGTTACTTCCTAGCAAACGCGGTTCGTGGTCTCTGTCTGTAGGCGCTCGGTGTACGAGGAGATGTCTAGGATCGAATTTTTGCGTCTGTGAAGCCGGGAAACCTACTTCAAGATCATAGGTTGGTGAATCGATTTGAGAGATCAGCTGTGTTCCTTTATCTACATCCTTAAAGGTCTCCGCGTGCCCGACCGCAAGCTGTCTCCCCCCCCCCCCTCTTCTTCTCGCTAAATAACTGAATGATTCGCTCAGACACTAATTAATCACGAAGAACTTCACGTTGCGTTATTGAATCTCAAGTTGGGGGCTCGGCGCTTTGTGTATTAGAGTCTGTCCGACTTGAGGATCGCTATAATACATGCCCTGCTATAATTTGGGGGAAGCAGATGGGTGACGTGGTGTTCCGGCTCAATGAAGCCGTGGTTGGTGTTTTTGTGATGTTTGGGAATAATTGCCGGAAGGCCGAGGGAGGCAGTCTGAGAGCTTGAAAGAAACCAAAACATGTCGAAACCAAAGCCATAATCCCGTAACCTCCGTGTCTTCTCTCCTTCCAGCAATCTGTTTGAGAGTTTCGGAGTCGCGCGCATAAGGAAAGTTGAAGGGAGCCCCCCACACAATGTGCCACTTTGACCTCCTCAGTGCCCAGCGTTATGTGAATGAGTCTGTAGTAGCTTTGTGCCGTTTACATGATCTCATCCTCCATAGCAGCGTCGCCGTTAGTGGCTGCGGGGGCAGGTGCGGGGGCAGCGGCGTTCTCATTAGGGTTGGCACCAGACTCGAAGTAATCGGCCATCTCGGAGTCAAGCTCCTCGGCCGTCTTCTTTGCAGGACGGCCGGTGCGCTTGGCACGGGGCTTCTTGCCACCAGTGCCAGCAGCGGCAGGGCCACCCTTGCCGGCGTTCGCGTTGTTGCTGTTGTTGTTGCGCTTGTTGTTGGCAGCAGACTTGGGCTGAGCCTTGGGTTGTCTGTTTTCTTGTTAATATGCATTTCAGTATCTCATGGAGATTTTGCTTACGTGGTGCGCTCAGCAAGAGTCTTCTTGGCAGGAGGGATGACGTTGGCTGCCTGAGAAGCGCCAACAACGATCTCAATCTAGTTCCCGTTAGAGTATACATGAAAGGGTATGATTCGAGATGCTTACCTTGATCGGGCGGTTGTCGACGAGCAGACCGTTCAGCTTCTGGAAGGCCTTGCTAGCGCCATCCGCCTCGCGGAATGTGATGTTGGCAATGCCGCGGCTAACAGAGTTGGGTCCGTAAGAGATGTCAACTCTCTTGATGGGTCCAACTGATGTGAGAAAGTACTCCTGAAGGGAAAGTCGATGTTAGTTATCCGTAAGCGTTGATGTTTCAATCACGAGCGTCGTCCGAACCCGAGCCGCACGAGGGGCAAGGAATCGGCAGAAATCCAATAGTCGACCGGAGCACAGGAGGTTGGCAGCGAGCAGAGCAGTGAGCGTTAGTACGCACGTCAGCGTCCATCCCCAAAGAAGCCCCAGTTGAAGCCATGGCTGCCTCGTGTTCAGTTGCCATCAAGTCGGAGGGTATCACCCCAAGTCGTAACAGCTGCTGTGGGGGAACGTCGTAACACATGGCCGTAACACCATTTCAGACCCAAATAGCCATGTGTATGTACTATGCCCCGAAACCCCGCTGAAAGGCCATCCGTCATTGTAGGTTCGCGAATCGATAGCAGCGAAGCTATGTATCGAAGCCGTCCTGGCCTGTGCTGCGACGTTGCTCACTGCTTTGCTCGCTGGAAAGGGCTTCATATTGCATCATCATGCTGATGAGTGGTGCCAGACCAAGCTGGTCTTATGGATATCCGTCGAAGACAGCCAACGTCCCATATTTTCAGTCGGCTGTACCAATTTCTTGGGTGCTGACCAGGCTACCTCAAATTTGGACTGTGTTCGCGCGACAGGGACGTGCTCAACTTCTGATGAGTTCTGCGCCGTATCTCAGGATCGCAGATATCGAGGAAGGAGTCTTGATGGTGTCTTGACGGATTCCGTTTGGGAAGCGGCCTTGGCCACAGTGGATTTGATATCGCTACGACGCCGGCTGGGAAGGAGAGCAGGCGAGAAATAACATGTCGAACCAAGTCCGAGGGCTGAAGAGCCTTATCGGCAACATACCTTGATCTGTTGCTCGTTGACATCCTTGGGCTTCGTATGTGTTAGCTTGCGCCAGGATTGACGGAGGGAGGAAAGTAACTTACCAGGTTGCTCACGATGACCTTGCTGTCACCAGAGCCTTGCGCAGGCTTGGCGGCATTAGGCTTGTTGGCGGCGGCGCCGCGCGCAGGTCGCGATGTCTTCTGAACACCGCCGACAGGGGCAGCGGCCGCAGGGCGACCACCGGTGGATCGACGCTGAGAGCGACGGCCGGGTCCGCCGGCAGAACGGCGTTGGGTCGAGAGAATCTCATCGAGAGACTGGTCAAGCTTTCCAGACATGATGACTGTGGTGTTGGATTTGTTTGATAGGAAAATGTGCTTGCGATAATGCTGCGATGAGAAAGCAGCTGGTCGATGGGTCTCTTCAAGTATTATTAGGTCGTGAAGAGCGTGATGCGAAACGAAGTGCTGATGTGATGAAGAATCAAACTCTGACGCGTAGAAGCTTGCGCGCGAGGAGTGGTCGGTCTGAAGGAAGAGGTAGAGAATACAGGAGCTGCACAAAAATTTGAGGATGCAGCTGAAGAAGGAAAACTTTGGTCGGGAGGCCGAGGGGTCTCTTTGATGTTGGACGGGCAGGTTTGTCTTTGGGAAGAAGAAAGGTTACGAGATGAATGGAATGGGCGGGTGAAGGCGAAATGGGAAAGGAGACGGGGCAAGGTGTTGGTGCCAGCGGAGCGGCAGGCTGCGGCGCGCCTGACCACAACAAGGGGGGCCTGAGGACCCCGTTGACAGCGGGAAGTTGATTGGTTGCACTAGTCCTCTTTGGGCCGAGAAGGATCCGCCAGAGCTGCTGCCTCCTCAGCCACACATCCCCTGTTTGCGCCTTCCAATTGTTCCATTTCGGGAAGCAGCTGGTCAGGTCTCCTTTCCATCTCTTTGGCGCTGAGTTCAATGCGCCTTATCGAAAGATATAACTTGCCGAAGCAAGAATTGGGGCAATTGAGGCAGCAGGCCATAAACCAACAGGCCCTGGTATCACTGGATAGTACGATTGATTCTCAAGATTTGGTCAGCGCCACAGCCAATAGTTTGAGTAGGCTGTAGCATGGCCTACCGTCACGAGGCATCCACAGCATTTACGCAGAGAATACAAAGGTAGGGGAGTTCAAGATCATGGACCTCGGTGTCTGTCAATGGCATTGCAAGACCGCAGTATGGAGGTTGTGCCATGGGATTTTGCGCACAAAGTCGATGTTCATCACGTGTATGCAGCGCTGAGCCAGATTAGACTAAGGTATCGTCTCAATGGTGATGCTCTAATGTTTCGATTTTGGAGGGCAAGAGCTTGTCGATGCCCCTAGTGTTTGCTTCTTTGACTGCATTAACTTTCGAAGCTCTGTGTTCTCTCAAGGGAGGAACGTTTCGTTGTCAACCCCCTGAAAGACCGTATTCGATATCACCTGTCCCCTCAGACACTGACATCAATGCCCTCTCTCATTGCTAATATGTCGCCCCAAGCCTCGCGTCTCGTTCGTCTCAGGGCAGTCGCAGAATTCCCAAATACCTCTCGCCATATGTATCTTACAGCGGATATCCCATGGCACCTGACTATCTCACTTGCGCCGTTTTGTGGCCTTCTAGGACGCTGCTTTGGCGGACTTCGCGGTTCGTACAGCCTTCTCGGGCTTTTCCTCTTCATTGTTGACTTCTACATAGTGGTAGAAGATAATGAGAACCATGGCGGCGGAGCCAAGGAAAATCGCAAGGCGGTAGAGATCGTTGTCGGAAATCATGATGGGCTCGGGATCGTTTGCGCGGCGATGCTTGTGGGTGATGTGCAAGGAGGATCTCCAGGAGGACTTCAACGTCTGGGCGTCAGTTATCCGCACCAATACTGCAATAGAAGAAAACAATGACTTGAACCTACAGTGGGTGTCTTTCTTCCAACAATCAATGGAAAGAGTTGAATTTGTTCGTCAAGGTGAGCTGTTTGGACTTGCTGGCGCGGCGCACATGGAGCTTGAGATGAGGATGGCAATGGGTAACCAAACGGACAACTAGACCACTGGAGCTGCTGTCCACGTTTAGACCGGCCACGCTAAGAGTGACTTGGTGCTCGAGTCGGTCCTCCACTTCAGTACCGCACCCCCCTGTCAAATCTGCTGTGACGCTCCGCCCCCACCAATGTAAGCCCTTCACGTGACCCGCCCACCGTGCCTTGAACTTCTGACTTCATCCACGGCGCTCCCACTCTTCTTGGATTTGCAGTGATGACTTTTTGCGTTACGTCGATCTGAGCGGACCCTATCGACTTGTCTGTCGACATCCCACAACAACACGAACCAAACTAATCCCGCCAGAAGTGGTTACTCAGTCGTAGCAGAAGACTTTTGCTTCTGCCCACCAACCTTTTCTCGTCTCCAGAAACCGAATACCCCGCCAAGATGCCTCCCAAGAAAGTGGACAAGCCGGCCAAGAAGGCCGTCAAGGTCGAGGACAAGACCTTCGGCATGAAGAACAAGAAGGGTGGCGCGGCCCAGAAGCAGATTGCCCAAATGGCGTCTTCGATGAGGAATGGTGGCAGTGCCGAAGAGAAGCGCAAGCAGGCAGAGAAGGAGGCGAGAGAGCGCGAGAAGAAGGCGGCAGAGGAAGCCAAGAGGGAGACCGACATGCTTCTGAACAAGCCCGCACAGATTCAAAAGGTCCCGTTCGGTGTCGACCCCAAGACAGTTGTCTGCAACTTTTACAAGAAGGGCAACTGTGAGAAAGGCAAGAAGTGCAAGTTCTCTCACAACCTCGAAGACGAACGCAAAACATCAAAGAAGAACCTGTACACGGATACCCGCAAGGAAGAGGAGGAGAAGAAGAAGGCCGAGACTTCTGCCGACTGGGACGAGGAGAAGCTTCGCTCTGTCGTTCTTTCCAAGAAGGGCAACCAGCAGACCACAACTGACAAGGTCTGCAAGTTCTTCGTCGAGGCCATCGAGGACGGCAAATACGGATGGTTCTGGATCTGTCCAAATGGCGGCGACAAGTGCAAATACAAGCATGCTCTTCCACCAGGGTAAGTGACATCAGTCCAGCGGTCATTTTCATGCTAACATTGTCACAGATTCATTTTGAAGACCAAGGAGCAGAGAGCAGCTGAAAAGGCCCTCATGGACAAGTCACCTCTCAAGACCCTCACCTTGGAAGACTTCCTCGAGTCAGAGCGACACAAACTTACCGGCACCCTCACACCGGTCACGCCGGAGTCATTCGCCAAATGGAAGAAGGAGCGTCTGGACAAGAAGGCAGCCGAGGAGCAGGCCAAGAAGGCCAAGGAAGCAACTGGTCGTGCCCTGTTCGAAAGTGGTAACTGGCGCACAACCGAGGACGATGAGGAGGAGGACGACGATGATGAAGAAGACGATGGAATGTGGAACTTGGAGAAGCTGCGTGCCGAGACCGCTGCTCTTCGCGAGAAGAGGGAAGAGGAACGTTTGGCTGCCATCAACGGTGGCCCTGTTCCACCAGTGGTACCAAAACCGGTAGCTGCCGAGGCGTCCGGATCTTGAGCTTCCTAACAGAGGAGAAGCCTTCTTGTATGCGCCCGAGGTTGCGAGCATCACCACGAAACAGGCCGATTCCGAGCACCTGGAAGACCAGGTTCATCCGGCGGCCGTGCCCATGCTACGCCAAACCACGGTGGCAGATCCGTCTACTCTCACACCTAAAATTCATGAAGTATGACTACGTACGTAACGTGCACATCAACTTCCTAAGTTGAGTACTCGTGAGACTACCAATGGAGACATATTGAGGATCTTTGGCTACTTAGAGAGAGGCTAGAGATTACTGGTGGTTACATTCAATCATGACGTGGATCTATCTCAACGTCTCCAGTGCCGCTTGATTGCTCAGAACTTTTCCACGTACGGTCTGATGTCAATTTCCTGACTGAACGCGGAGCGGTGTTGCGTGTGCAGGTACCAGTAGGCATCAGCAATCTTAATGTTGTTAGCAATATGTCTGCTTCAGGGTTTTGAAAATCACTTACAGCGTCCGGTGAAATCTTGCCATCTTCTGCGCCATCGTTGGCAACGTAGGCCTTACCCCACGGGGTATCAATGCCTCCGTCGATGATGGCGTGTGCCACATGGACCCCCTTCGGACCGAACTCGCGTGCTAGAGATTGGCCCAAGGCGCGGAGGGCGAATTTGCCTGCCGCAAATCCTCCAAACAATGCGCTGCCTGCGGAAGAAGGTCAGTCATCTTTCAGCTCATCCCCACTCTGAAGACAAACCTTTGATGGATGCCGTGGCTCCAGTGATGATCAAAGACGGCGGGTGAGGGGAGTCGGACACCGACTCGAGCAACAGGGGAAGCGTCTTTTGCGCGAATGTGAAGAACCCCTTACTGTATACCGTGCGTGTTAGTCGCCTCTTCCAGAAGATCCAGTAAACGATGTCTCACGTACGGCGCAGCATCGAGACTGACATCAAGCTCCTCTCGCTTAAGCTCGAGGAACGGCTTGCGTGAAAAGCCGGCGTTGACATTGTAGATGGCGGCAGCGAGCTTGCTTCCGGGGAGCTCCTTCTTGATCGTCTCAAAGGCAGCGTTGACGGCGGCCTCGTCTGTGGCATCGGCCGTGATGCCGAAGGCTTGGCCGCCGGCCTGCTTGATCTCGTCCACGATGGCGTTGTAGCTCTCTGGCTTGCGGGCGAGGAGCACCACTGGGTACGCCTTTGCGAAACGGACGGCTGCTGCGCGGCCTGCTGTTGCGTTAGTCTCGACTGCCTCAACGGTACGCTATTGTAGGAGTGCGTTCTGACCAGTGCCGGAACCCGCTCCGGAGATGATTGCGTAGAATGATTTGGAGGCCATGTTTAATCAGACGTTTTGGGATACCGTTTATTTTGGTGTGTTGTTTTCAAGTTTCATTAGGAATTATGAAGTGAAAATGAGATGCTGTGAAATGCGATTGATACGCGGCGAGCAGATGAGGGGTTCAGTGGCTTTATGTCTTATTGAGGCTTGCATGTGGTCGGCCCGGCATTGTGAGATTAGACCATTGCTCGGATTCATGACGGCATTTGCGGAGGGCCGAACGGGATGCCCGATTATTAATGACCCCTCTCCGGCAAGCTCCAATTACGGCCTCCGACCCGGTGCGAGGTGCGAGGGAACGACCATCAAGGAATCGATTAGCAAAGCGCTTTAGAAATGGCGAAAAAAGATCAATAATCAAACGCTGGCGAGCTATGTGTCGTGCAATTGACAGGTCAGCCTGCGCATTCACGGCTTTGTGTCGTTATTGACTTTATCTCCTTCATTACTGACACGAAGTAGACTCCATATCCTCCAATGTACCCAGATACATCGAGTGTCAATTGTACCGGGCCGGTGGGAGATATGGCTTCGTCAGCATCATGACCTTTTTGCGACTTCTCCATCACGAAAAGCCATTATTACCACTACAAGTAGCGAGAAAAGGTGCTCAAGTCTTTCAATGTGATGACAATCTAAAAGTAAGATAGAGACAATAAGTGAGAAGGAGTGACATCGGGGACCTACGCCTTGAGGCAAGTGCGGAAGTCACCCTTGCCTGCGGTGCGAACCGCCCTAAACGGGAAGGCCCCGCTAATTGCCAGTTCCTTCCCCAAGTTCCCTCAACTGCAGTCGACTGCAGTCGCGCCTGCAACCTATCAACGCGTCGCTACCTCATCTTTTCGACCTCAAAGATCGGCCTTTGCAACATCCCCGGCCGATCTCTCGAGTGCCTCGCACTGCTCATACTCAACAATACAACACTAGGTTGGTTTTGCATAGATCACCCACGCAGCAAACCTCACGGCCAGTCATCACAACTTATCACGACTACACACTTTGGGAACCGATTAAATCTCACTCACTAGCATGCTCAAAGAGAACTGTTCAGCTAGGACTCGTCGATTTGAGTAAATTCACCATGCCACCACTATTTCCCACAAACTCAAGCACCAAGGATGAGTCCACCTCACAGGGCCCAACTAATCCGTCTATCCCACGACAGCGCACCTTGGATAAGTTTTTCGGCCGACCAGGCAGCAGCATGCCACAGACTTCTACTTCAGCCGCTCAGACAAAGCCGAGGACATCAACAGCTCAGCCAGCGCCACGGTCCTCCTCGTTCGCCGTGGTTCTTCCATCGAGTCCTAGAAAACGTACAGGAACGACCCCCATGAGGACAGTCGAGGACGACGCAGACGACCTGGTGATATCGGACCTATCACCCCAGTTCAGAAGACTAGCAGCTCAGGCAAAAGTAGGCGTGAGCCTCGCCAAGCCAGCCTTACCAGAAGCCGTCGCAGATGAGCCAGAGTTAGAGGTAACTTCACCAGGGGCGGCGACTCCTCCACTGCAGCCTCGCAAGCGCGGCCGGCCAAAGGGTTTTCGACCGAATCTGACGGGCAAGAAAGCCCTACAGGAGGCCGGCGAGGCAGGGCCAAGAAAACTGCGGCCAGATAGGCCCAAGACAGGCGCCCTTTACGCGGGAAAGCGGCGAGGTCGACCGCCAAAAGCAGCTTCACCCAAGCCGCGAGAGATCTACAAGAGTCTAAACCCACACTTCAACACGTACATCTGCGAGTGGGAGGGTTGCAAGGCCGAGCTTCACAATTTTGCGACTCTGCAAAAGCATGTGTCGATTGTTCATACCAAAACGGTAGCAGCTGGATGTCGATGGGCCAAATGCGCCCAAAAGCAGCCGCCTCACGAGTTCCCCACACTGGCGGACCTCAAATCTCACGTGGAGGATCTACACATGCTCCCAGTCGCCTGGCAGGTAGGGGACGGGCCGCAAGTGTCGTTCAAGCGATACGATCCCGATGATGGGGCCAAGCTTCCTGACTACCTTTTTGACAAGGCTGGCAACCAAATCACACCGTCAATCAAGGATCAGAAGGAGGAGGACTTGTACACGTGGCGCAACAATAGGCGGAAACTCAAGGATCTTTTGCTTCTCAGAGATCAGAATCTGCCAAGCGAGGAGGAAGACGACGACGCAATGGAGGAGGTGACCGAAGGAGCATGATGTGGCTGATGGTTGTGGCGCAAGCAAACAGTTGACGTGAATCACGGGCTGAGTCCTGGCGGCTATTGGAGGCGACGACAACACCATTGAGACGATACTGAACGGCGAGGCGAGCACGCTGACAATGCTTGTGAGGACCAAGCTTCATGGCATGGTTTCGGATGAGGGTTGACCGACTGCGCCTCCCTAGGGATGACGGAAACTTCAGGATAACGGGGGTATCCGCTGCTCAGAAGGCCCCTGGAAAGTCGTGCAACGGACTCGTTCGGCCAACTGGAAAGGCCGTTGAGCGGTCTCCCGCTTCACCAGACGAGCATGGATGATTTGTCGAGGCCTCACTTGACGGGTAGCGGATGGGCCGGGAGAGTCGTCGTCGTCGTCGTCGTGTGTCTGAGCATGATTATTCATTCGAAAGGGATGACTTGGCATTGCGGCTCTTGCTAAATTAGACAGTTCAGGCTGATGCAGGAAGGGAAGGGAAGCAGAAAAAAAAAGGCGCCAGGGACGAAGTCTGGTCGCATTCCATCTTACATCATCGGCGGGGATGTGCGGTGTTTTGTGGGGAGATTGCTCAACGTTGCATGAGGAGGCGAAGGTGGAGTGACACCTCGGCATCCAGGGAGGGCCGCTGTTCAGGAAGAAACACGTCCCAGCCCTCCTCTCTTGCGCATTCAGGGCATTCGATTCAGCAGGGCGGCGGGAAGTAGGCCGGCTTACCGGGCATCAGTTGAATCGAGTTTCTTCTTTGCAGAGGTTTCGGGTGGGCGAAACGAACAATCGGAACAGACGAGATAGGATAGCACGATATCCCTAGGTAGAGCCGAGAGAGGACCACCTACACCAAAAGAAAAAAGAACCTGAAGATCGGTTCTAGAATACTTCCCATGCAGCATTACACGCCTAGTAAATCGACGGGCGGCCGACGGGCTCAGGTGCCAATGCAGAGGGAAAAGTGAGAGACTGGGTGAAGACTGTGAAATGATTCGTCGAAAAGCGCTGAACGCGAACGTGACAAGCCAACCACGCCAGCTAGGTACGGAAGGTGGCGATGGGGGATGGCGCCGCCGTGGATGCTCGCGACTTTTCTCTGCTCGGTCGAGTTCTGTCTTAAAGGCTGTAGAGTCGAGTTCCATGGTTGATTAACAAGCAGGCGGGAAACCTCTCTAGTGCCCCGGACGACTGGATCGCCGGCCATTGACCCGCGCTGTGTCGTGGTGGTGTGGAGGGCTGAAAATGGACCGATTGAGGGGGGACATAAGTACTCTGTTGTAACCTAACACCACCTGGGTACTAAGTTACGAGGGGCTGGAGTGCTAGCGCGGGATTGCACGACGGGTGTGGTTGATGGGAGCGTGTCTTGCAAAAAAGAGGGTTGATAGTGTGATAGTGTCTTATTAGACATTTCAGAAACAAGCTCGTGTAAGGTTTTTTTTTTTCCCTTTCCATCTCTCGTCTGTCCAAAAGTTGCAGCGGTAGACGTGGAATAGCCTGCGAGGTCAAACGCAATGAGGCTTTTATTTGCCCCGACATCTGTGCCCATTTCTGCATATTCGTCTGATGCTGGGTGTTTTGCACGAGCCCTCGAAGGGGGAGAAAAAATATAAAACATGTCAACGGCGGGGACTTCCTCGTGAGGACGCAGAAACTAGAAAAGAGAGGGTGAATCAGAGACTGAGGTAGAAGATTGACGGCTGTTGTCGTGGGAAACATTGTTGTGAGAGCTGGGGCTCTGGCATGTAATTGCCGGTGAGGCTTTCGTATCTCGAGCTGGCGCCGGTGTTATCTTGGCTCTTGACAGTGCATTGGGCTTGCGCTCAGTAGTCAGTACCAAAGCCCATGTTGTGCGTTTTGTTTGTCCTGCCTTCATCGTCGACACTGGCCGGAGGGATGAGAACGCATGAATAAGAACCAGAACGCTCTGAAGCCAAAAGGGAGAGAAAGAAACTGGAACAGAAGGTAAAGGCATCAACGGTTGGGAAGAGGGCACTTGAGATAGAGTTGACGAGTGATATACCGGTACTCTCCCTCTGGTTTTGAAGGTGGTGTGGACAGACGGGACAGGATGCCTACCTTATGCATAGAAGAATCGAGATAGGTACCTCGAGTGACTTGCAAAGCCAATGACCCAATGGAATAACGTTAGCTGTGGTGAATGGGGGAATTTGCGAGGCGTGGAAAATCGTCGGGGGAAAGAGCACCAATCACCGGATCAAATGCACTTTTGTCAGCAAAGCCATCCCAATTCCCATTTTGCAAGCAGCCTGCCAGCCTGCTCGGACCTGACAAGCACACAAGCCTGGACTGAACAGAAAGAACAGAGGCACAGGACTCTGGACCAGCATTGAGAGAGGTCTTGACCAACGCTGGAACCTAGAGGAACCTAGGCCTAAGCCGGGCCCGCCTGAAGCGGAACATCCCTGCCAAAAAGCCGTCCCATTCTGATCCGTTGGTGGATGTCTTGTATCATTGGATCCTCTCCCCTCCCCCCTGGCCATGCCACACAGTAAGGCAAGGCGATGAAAAGTCACCTGGTAAACTGCCTCTTTACCCCCCGAAGGCGCGCGTTTCCTGCTGTGCTGCCGCTCTTTCGCGTGGGGAGCTAGGGATCCCCTGTGCCTCGCGGTGCACTGCCCGAGAGCCACTGAACAGTGGGCACAGGTCTCGTCCATCTTTATCCGCCCGTACATGGAGAGGAGAGAGAGAACAATTGAGCCCCGGTGGGCGGCGGCGGCGGCGACAGAAAGAGCGATACCCCAGTGAGCTCCCCAAATGGGAATCGAGAGTGCTCTGAATTGTGAGAGGAGTGAACAGATAGCCGTACCTAAGGTAGTGTAGTTCTCGGGTGACGAGCCAAGACCAGGACCTCGACCTGGACCACGGCCACGGTCATCGACCAACGAGCGGGGGGGTTGATGGATGGTCCATGGTCCATGGGAAGTTGAGGTGTGGAAGCCGAAGCGTGAAGCCCGTCCGGAAAGACGCCTAAGCCCACCTCATATTACTAACTCGCTTTCGACTCTCTCCTCCCCCGTCCACCGCTCGCCTACCGCCTATTCTATCCGTCCTTGCCTACTACCACCACCTACCGTCAACCATCCCGTTCTGTCACCTACCTACCTGCCAGCCAGCCAACACCTATCTTTCTCTCCCGGCCTTGCTTGCTGCACCTCCTCCTCGTCCTCCACCACCACCCGACCCTACCTTACCTTTTCGACGCTACTTACACTCCGCATCCAGTCCCACGTTCCTCCCACCTACCTCACTCTCACCCTTCACCTTAACCTACTCACCTCCGACCTACCTCCCTACCTACCTGCATACTACCGTCGCCGCTCTTCTTCCGCTCCATCTCCTTTCCGCACTTCCGAACATCGTCGGTCCTCTTCGCATCTCTCCCGTAACTGTCCCGTCAGCCATGGCATCGGTCGCTTGATTGCGCACCCCCGAGATTCCGATATGCCTGCCAGCCGAACCCACCAGAATGGCGCTGCCCAGTTCAACCAGAAGCTGAAGAACCTCTTCCGCATCAACCTCAACAGCGGCGCCGACCGTGACAGAGAAAAGTCCTCCGCTGCCCACGTCCACTCCTCACAAGACGCCGCCGCCGCCCGCCCAGAAATCCGGAGCAAGTTTGGTAGCAGCTTTTTCAAGGGCACCGTCGGCCGATTGAGGACAAACACCACCGCCAGCGAAGGCAACCCCCTCGACGAGGCCCTCAGCCCGACCGCGCACGCGAATCCCTACTTTGCACACCAGGGTCAGCCGGGCCTTCGCCATCACAATCACGAATCAGTACCTCCTAGCCCTCCCGATACCCCAAATTTCAAGATCCAAGGTCCTGACGGCGGCCCCGAACAGCAGACGACGAGCGCCGGACGTGAGGAATTGGCAAGGAAACTTAGGAGAGTCGCCAGTGCCCCCAATGCCCAGGGCTTGTTCTCCAAAGGCAAGGGCAGCGCCGAGCGTCCCGCCACCGCCGAGTTGAGCAAGGACCCGTTGGTTCTCGACAAGGACTCGGGCACCCTCGAGATGGTTGATCCGTCCAAGGCGTCTGCCCCTAGCCTGGGCGTCCCCGACAAGGACGTCCTCGGCAACCTCCCACCCCCGAACCGTACGAGTCTCGCATTCCGGAGGACCTACAGCTCCAATTCCATCAAGGTCCGCGATGTTGAGGTCGGCCCGCAAAGTTTCGACAAGATCAAGTTGATTGGCAAGGGAGACGTCGGCAAGGTCTATCTTGTCCGCGAGAAGAAGAGCAGTCGTCTCTACGCCATGAAAGGTAATATTCAATCCAGGATATCCGGTAGCCAAACCCTGACGTGTTGCTGACTCGCTGCAGTATTGAGCAAGAAGGAGATGATCAAGCGGAACAAGATTAAACGCGCCCTTGCCGAGCAAGAAATTCTAGCTACGAGTAACCACCCCTTCATTGTTACGCTGTACCACTCATTCCAATCGGAGGATTATCTGTATCTGTGCATGGAATATTGTAGTGGTGGAGAGTTCTTCAGGGCGCTGCAGACGCGCCCCGGCAAGTGTATCCCCGAAGACGATGCGCGATTCTACGCCGCCGAGGTCACCGCGGCCTTGGAATATCTGCATTTGATGGGCTTCATCTATCGCGACTTGAAGCCAGAGAGTGAGTTCGACGAGAGCCAGTTTCGCGCTTACCAATCGGTTGCTGACATACTATGCAGACATCTTACTCCACCAGTCGGGCCACATCATGCTTTCGGACTTTGACTTGTCGAAGCAGTCCGATCTCGGTGGAAAGCCCACAATGGTCATTGGCAAGACAGGTACCAGCACCACCTCATTGCACATCGACACTCGGTCCTGCATCGCCAATTTCCGCACCAACTCGTTCGTCGGAACAGAGGAGTACATTGCACCAGAGGTCATTAAGGGTAGCGGCCACACTAGTGCCGTGGACTGGTGGACCCTCGGCATCTTGATTTACGAGATGCTTTACGGAACCACTCCCTTCAAGGGCAAGAACCGAAATGCGACTTTTGCCAATATCTTGAGGGAAGACATCCCCTTCCCGGACCACGCTGGGGCACCTCAATTATCCAAGTAAGCTTGAAATGACGTAATGAAAATGCAAGTTGAACTGACAAGAGTGTAGCCTTTGCAAATCCCTGATTCGTAAACTTTTGATCAAAGACGAAAACCGGAGATTAGGTGCCAAGGCCGGTGCTTCGGATATCAAGGCTCATCCGTTCTTCAAGACGACTCAGTGGGCGTTGATTCGACACATGAAGCCTCCCATTGTGCCTGTTACTGGGCGCGGCATCGATACTGTCAACTTCCGCAATGTTAAGGAAAGTGAGAGCATCGACTTGAGCGGATCCAACCCGCTGCAAGCAAACCTCAAGGGAGTTCCTCTGGATAGTGGCATGACGACCCCCGGTGGTGAAGTCGTTGATCCTTTCGAAGAGTTCAACAGTGTCACGCTGCACCATGACGGAGACGACGACCATCACTCACAACAGAGTGGACAAAATCACTCGTAGTCCGCTTCGTCACTGCATCCAGGGCAATGACAGTGGCTGGAGGGCTTCGTGTGTAGGAGCGAGGCCAATTGAATTAGCCACGCTCATGACTGAGATCGAGCGAGAGATAGGATAACCCCCGAGAGAGTGTAAGAGCTAGGTGCTTTTTGACCAAGGGTACCTACAGCCACGGACTATTATTTACAAGCGACGAGATTGAAGAGAGATGAGAACTCACGAGAGGCGAGCGGAGCAAAGAGAAAAACGACCACAGCTCTTCGAGTTGAGGCAATCAACAAACAGGGCTGCGAAACCACGAAACCACGAAACCACGCTACAAAGGCCTTCATGGTTTCCCCCTTCTCGAGGACTATCCACGGACTTCTCACGAAAATATTTCAACCTGCAGCATAGGGTCTCTGTGCCTTCATCATTAGGAGTTTCCTGTTATTCATCATCCGTTTTCCCCGTTTTGGAGGGAAAGTCCTCCATTTGGCGTTTATCGAGTTTGGGAAACTGGGTTTTTTTTTTCATTTCAAAGAAACGAGAGAACAGAAGCGAGAGAAAGAGAAAGGCAAGACAAGCGCGTGAGGATCGAGAAAGCGGAAGCGATGTGGGCTGTTGAGTGAAAAAGAAAAGAAAAGAGAAAACTTCCATGGGGAGGGAAATCTTCTTTTTCTTGGTTTTCTGTAAACCCTTGCCATCATTAACCACGAATGAGACGTAAAAAAGCTTGAGAAATCATACAACTTTGCGTGCCATGAACGTGACATCCGTAAGGCAGACGAATAGGGGGATTGACTAGGCATTCAGTCTAATCGGAAACTCATTCCGGCGAGGTCATGTGATCGGCCTCGACTTTACAATCAGTTGTTGAACAAGGAGTAAGCCACATGAACGGGGCCAAGCAAACCTCATTGAAAAACACTAGACTTGACTCTATCGCTAAACAAACATTGGTTTCTCTGAACAGGTAGATGCCTTGATCGGGTAGACATCGTAAACTGTCTTTTGCTTCCCAGAAACAGCACCTCTTCTTGCGCCAAGTGGGCGACAACGTCTCGCCGTACCCACCTAACCTCCACGATTCTTCTTCTTCTTTCACGCTGCCAGCGAGGTTTGGAGAAGCTAATTCATACAGACAAGATACAAACACGTGCGCTGATGTTGATGTCCCGTAATATGGTCGTTGCGGAAACATGTTTAACGAAGACGCATTCTAAAGCTTCGCCTTGACGGCTTGCTGCTTCGACGGAGCCGTTGCCTCCTCGTTGAGATTGACCGAGCCCGTCTTCTCACCGTTTCCGAAGAAAATGACTTGCACCGTCAAATCGTCCCTGTTTCGGATTGGTCAGTCTTCCTGATTCATGTGCTCTACCTCGAACTTGCAACCTGACTCACCTGTAGCGTCTCGAGAAGGGTGAGGGCAGGGTCAGCAGGGCGGAGACCTGCTCTTCGTTCTTGCCACCAAGGGCGTTACGGACCAAGTGCGTAGCCACGTTCTTGTCCTTGACGACGAACCGTTCGGGGGCGTCGGGAGAAATTCCCCACTGCTGCAGGCGGATAGGCGTCTTCTGGCCATCGACGCTCTTGTCGCTCGCCTGCTCGACGGGGAGGCTAGACTTCTTGGATCCGAAGAGCTTGGACCAGGTAGAATCAAACTGCGAGCCAGAGCCGCTGGCTTGAGTCTCGATCCACTTGCCGACAAGACCAACGACCTCCTCGTTGGTAAGCATCTCCCACAAACCGTCGGTAGCCATAACGACAAAGTCACCATTCTCAGGCTCAATCTTTGTGGTTGTGACCACAGGCTCGGCAGTGACGTACGGGGGCGTCTTGAGGAGAGGGGAAGCGGACCGGGCAAAGAAGGATTCACGGAGTCTGTTGGTGATCTCGCGGCTCCACTTGTAGCTAGCATCGCCGAACGCGCGGGTCGGTTCCAAACCGCCAAGAACTCGGCCGTTGTGAACGACTCGGTCCTCGCCAGGGTGGAGCTTGCGAAGGCGGGCTGCCTCATCAGGGTTGCCTCCTGTTTGGTCAACAGAGAGAGCGGTAGCTGTCCACTTGCCAGACGCAGATCGACGACCGAGGACCGCTCGCGAGTCGCCAGTGCAGGCAACTCGCAAAAGCTTGGATCTGCTGTCATAGAATGACAGCAGGGCGCAGGAGCCAGACAGGGCGGGTGCCAGCAGCTCTGCAGCCATAGTCTTGGAGCCGGCTTTGAGAACCCTCTCGACGCTCTGGTTGACAATCTCGTCATCCAGACGAGTGAAACCAAGCTTGATGGCGGTATCGATAGCATCAGCCGCAGGAGACAGGTCAGCGGATGACTGGTAGGTCTGGTTGAGCTCGTTGGCAACGGAGGCAATCAAAGTCTGGCGCAGCTTTGCCGAAGTTGTCCAGCCACTGTTCAGTGGTTAGCATTCATCAAATATAACGCCGCCATAATGTTCACTTACGCATGGCCGTCAAAGACGCCCCAGAACATCCAGTCGTTGCTCTTGCCGGCAGCACCTGCGGCCTGGTTCGGCACCTCGACAATCTTCTCGGCATGGTCGTCTTCGATGGGATCGTTGCTAGGAAGCTGGACAAGGTCGTAACGCAGTACGCCCTGTCCTCTATTGACGAGGAAGGACTGCTCCGTCTTGCGCAGCTTCTCGGTAGCTTGTTCGGGGGTCAGCATCTCGATAACCTTACGGCCGTCGTCGCTAGTCGTCTTGGATATAGGCCCCTCTCCAACAAATGTACCGGTATGCAGCTGATCAGCGCCTACGACGAGAACAGAACGGGTCGGGGCAGCATCGCCGCCGGCATTGGATGCGGTGGTGAAGCTCCTCGTCAAGCTCGATGCCTTATCGAGACCGGTTCCGTTGTAGGAGTACCAGGCGCCGTAGCCGACGAGGGTGGACACAAGGGCGACGGAGAAGCGGCGGATGTACATGGAGGACTTTAGCGGCTGGACGGCATGCTCGGGGTGGTGTTGATACGAGGAGGAGGATCGCAGGCCGTGGCGGGTAGCGTAGGACGAGGAGAGGTTATGGTCCAAGAGACCCCGTCGGCTGTTGCGTGCGAAACTACGAGCCGTACATCGGTAAGTTGTCCGTAAGGCCCTCACTGCTGCGCGATGCATTTGGGGCAGCGAGATGAGAGTGAAAGGCGGTTGGACTGGAAGGCGATCCGAGTCCAATAAGGAGTGTAGAGAGAGTGTCGTGGGAGGGTTTGAGGAAGTGAGCTACCGGCGGGCTGCCAAGACGTCGTGTCCTGCCTCAGGCCGCGGGCGGGCGTAATCGAGTCTGGGGAAGCTGTACGAGGTGCAGTTGAGTGCAGCACTGTGGACCTTGGTGTCCCGTGTTGGTCAGGTACCTTGTGCCGCCTATCCTGGGCCCGCGATCAGTGGTGGTGATTGCTAACTATAGCAACGTCAGAGGAACAACTCAATATTGGCATACAGGTTTGCTAGCGCCTACAACGGGATCAAAGACGCCAAATGTGTCGTCGGATGTTTCAGGGATTCGTTTGTCAGTTTGGTGAGAATTCTTTGCGTTGCGTACGACAAACAAAGTCAACCAAGGGAGTACGATACCTACTTCACCTGTCTTAGGTTGAGCCTTGAGGTAGGAGTGGTGGGTACGTATTACTGCCTTAGCTTCTGGCCGAGTGTTATCTTATCCGCAAGACCCCACTCAACTTTAAGGTAAGGCAAGGTAAGTGGAGGTAAGGTATCCGCAGCTGTAGTCACCTCACGGAGTACCCTAAGGTGGCTCAGAGAGCCTGCTTCACCATCCTCAACTCCTTCTTTACCTCGTGCATGTATTATGTTCGCCCGGCGTTCAAAGCCGATGTGCTGGACCACCGGAGCGTGCTAGCGTATGAAGTTTTACTTTCGACGCCAGCCGCAGAAGTTGTTCAGTACAGGCCATGGCATGTGGGCTACAATCACCTGAGTGTGTCTCTGAATGAAAGAATTATTAAACTGCCTCGCTATGGACCATGCCGTCATTCCCATGTCCCTTGAACTCATATGCCTGCTTCTTTTAAAGCCCTTAACCCCCACCTTAAGTAGCCTCCATAAAAACGCCTTACCATGAGCAAGCACACCTTGCTGGGGAAACAATCAACTCTGCTCATCGACCCTGCTTGCCCTGTCCTTCACATCGCATTGGCCGTCAAGTGTAGGTCTGGAGGCACCTGCCAGCCATGGGCCATGGCAGAGCGTCTGTACGCATCAATGGCCTCGCCGACGCCGTAGTCCCGTCCTCCTCCAGTCATTGGGCCTGTTCCCTGGTACTCAAGTCTAGCTGGAAAAGGCTCGAGATTGCACAGAGCCAAGCGAACCTGGAGTAGAACACTCTCCATACTGCTCGCAACAGACCAACCGCTGTTCGTCAGAAGCTCCATGCACATGGCACCGCCAGCCGTGACATGACCACCACCTCTGCGCGAAAAGGGTAAGAAACGGGGGCGAACGACCCGGACGAAGGGGGGCGAGTGAGGGAACTGGCGGCCAAATCGGATCTCGAGGACGATGCTCTCAACGCCTGCTCGCTCCATATCCTGCGCAAGAGGCAAGGACTTTTCGAAGCTGTGCAGCTCAACGATCCACTGAAACATGTTTGTAATGTTGCTAAAATCGATGAACCAGCCGAGCTGATGAAGAGGTGTTGTAGCCTGCACCTTCTGTAACTTGCCAAGCTCTTTGCCGAGGACCTTTCGCCCCGCGTCTGAAGCCCAGCTCGGGGCCGGCAGCTGAGGCAGTGTCGTTACGTCAAGTGTGCCCGGCGTGAAAGAGGTCTTGTCTGGATCAGTCTCCGGTTCGGCATCAAGGACGACTGTATCGGCGTCTTTGTTGTCGTTCTCTGTCTCCTTTCGGAGGTCCATGATCTTGTCAAAGTCATCTGGCTGGTCGTCGCCCGAATCATCCGTGAGGATGATCGGCTGAGACCACGAGGACCCTGGAACAACGGATTTCTGGCGCCACTTTGGCAGTGCTGCAGCTGGGATCTCCAACATGGTATTGTTAATCCCCACCGGTTGCCACTTGGGATCTTGTAAGATGTACTCCGGCTTCGTCTCTGGCTCTTCTTCGTGCTTCACTGATTGGTTCCGCTGAATAATGAGGTAGCGGCACTGGATCCAATCAACCTCGTCGACAACATAGTACGGATGAACGGATTTGAATCTTTCCGGACGGTTGATAATCTCGCAGAGACTCATAGCGGCGTACAGCTTGAGTTCCGAACCCGCCCATGATGTCTCGTTGCCCTGCTTCATGCAGTAGCCCAAGCTTGTTGCGAAATCGCGGGCGAAGTACACTCCATGACCATAGGCACGCCCATGGAGCATTTGTTTGAAGTCCAAACCAGTCCGGATGATACTGTGCCAATTCCCGAGCGGGCTCCCGTGCCATGCAAACATCGTTGGGTATCTTTGACTCGCCTCCTTCTCAAGCTCTTTCTTGAACCGATTCTCTTTCTCAGGGGATCCTTGGGCAAAGCGGAATTGCATCCAATCGTCACCCAATCCGACGAAGCGTTCCTTTTGTCGAGCCTCAGTCGCTTGAATCCCGCCAATGTCAAGGTCAACCGGCTGGTCAATCTGTACAATGAGCGAGCGGTTGGAAGCCACAACCCATCGAAGCAAAGCCAGAGCCGACTTGGATATCATCTTGTACTTAGATAGAGACCAGCCTTGGTGGCTAAGAAGAAAGTCCCGTAGGTATCTGATGGGAGGGATCGTCTGCACGAGAATCAATAACGCCTCCCTCCGATACGCTTCGCTCAGACTGTCGAGATCATGATCGTAGAGATATAGCTCAGCATCGCCCTCCTCATCATCGATGTGTTCTTCGTGATAGACGTGTGTCTCAAAAGGCGGTTGAGTATACCCGGGGCGCGGTTGAACAACTGTACTATGGTACGTTACTTTGTCGGTTGATATGAGACGATCGAACTCAAACGCTTTGCCACAATCGTTGCCGCTGTCGTCATGGATCGTTTTGACTGAGGTGATGCGGCAATGGTGCATGTTTAGATCTTTCCCATCGCGGCGCAAAACACGTTTGGCCAAAATGATCATGTCTCCCGGTCGCAACTTCTCCAGTTTCTCGGAGAAGCGCACGTTGAACTTCCCAGCAGAAATCTGGGCCCAGACTAGAATTCCGGAATCTTGTACTATCTGCGGCTGCATTGGGGCCTGAATCGGGACCTGCATCGTTGTTGCCTGGAATCTGTTCGTCGCGGACGTGGAATCTCCTGGTGTGACATGGCTCGGGACGGGGACTTTGATAGACAGACCTCGCGGCCATTCTCGAATTCGGCCACTTTTCAGAGCAGCAGCGCAGAAACTGATCAACAGGTCGACGACATAGGGACGAGCGATGATGTCGTGCTCAGTACTGGGACCCAGACCTAAAGCCATATACTGGAAGAGACAGAGAGGATCGTTGCAGACGTACGGCTTGAGGGCAGTAAATCCAGGTTCAGTTTTGCGATGGCATACGAGGCAGTACTGCGTGCTTTTGACAAAGTAGCGCAGAGCGAACTGCATCGCAATCAGGGGCAAGCTGAGTTCTTCGCGCGGCAATGGGCCCGTATCCCGGGGGTTTTGTCGTACGTAGTCCTTGTTGAGCGATGTGAGAGCTGACGTCGAGACTTGAGCCTCTTCTTCAATCGAGCTGCCGGCCGTTTGGCTTCGCTTCGAATCGGGACTGCTTTGTGTGGAGCTGTCGACACGCAGGTGCCCTTCTTTGGTCATCTCCTCCATCATGTCCTTTGCGCGGTCCCAGGAGACACCATCATCCAATCGAGTCTTCAGCAGGGTGGCAAACTCCTTATTCAGGAAAATGTCCAGCGATTCCGAAATGGGCATTGAGCAAAACGCCGCCTCGCGAGAGGTCTCCTTCGGCAGGCCGTCTTTCTCTGAGATCTTCTTGGCAGTGTCGAGATTCTTTTGGAATGGAATGAGTGCTGAGTGAAGGGTGGGCTTGAAAGAGGCGCACTTTCCCAAACGAAACTGCATAGATTCCGAATGACCTGCGGGAAGCTTCGTAAATGTTTCCACACAAGGATAACCTGCATCGTACTTGAATAGCAATACGATGTAATCTGAAGCGCTAATTTCCCAGGCCTCTAGTGTGTCCTCGCTAATCCCCAGGTGTTCGACTAGAAGGGAAAGTGCGAAGATGCAACTTTCCTCGTGTGTGGCAGCGTCGCCCAACAGAGAAATCTTGAAACCGGCGTCTTTGGCTTTCTGAAGATCGTCGATTAGGCGGCTAGGGAACTTGGCTAAATGGCTGGGTGGTTGCGGAGTAGCATCACCGCCAAAATCAATGCCGAAGTCAATATCGTCATATTCGTAGTCCTCGTCGTCGTACTCTTCTTCGTCCTCGTCTTCGTAATTGCCGCAATGTTCGTCGTCGTCAATATCCGTCATTTCCACATCCGAGCCTTCGTCAACGTTCGCCGAGTTGAGGTTTGAGCTCAGCTTCTTTGAGATAATTACCAGCGTCTTCAGTATGGTTCTGCCCTGACTGAGGTTGGGAATATCGTCAAGGACTTTGGAAACAGTACTCGAGACAGATTCCTCCTTGGTGTATGCCACAAAGCCAGGGCCATGCGGGTAGTCGTCCACATTCAAGGCAGTAAGGCAAACGGTGAGAGGAGATGGTAGAGCATCATGGGAAAGAACGAAGGTGAGTTCGCCATCGTCATCTCCTTTCTGAAGGCCCGAGATATGCTCAACTTGCTCGCGGGATGCCTGAGCCAGATCGGCATTGAATTTGTGGCGTGCCATGGTGAAGAATAGCAGTGTAGCAATGTAAACATGCGAAAGTGATATTCAGAAGTCGAGTTGTGCCGCTTCGATACAAAAAAGTAACCAGCAGCGGCCGCCTTCTCTAGGAAGAATGTTAGCCAAGCAATGAATGTACACCGCGGGGTACAACTGGTCGTGCGGGAGAAGTGTGATGGAAGGGTCAAATGGAAAAAGAATACATACGGGAAATCGCTTGGCTTTAAAAGACCTGGAGAGGTGCAAAGCGACTCCTGAGAGAGTATCTCCTGGAGCTTCACACCAAAGAATAGCCAGTGAAAGAAATAGAGAGAAGTGCTCACAAGCCGATGAGTCGCATGTTGAGTGCCATCAATCGAGAAATTGGGACAATGTGCTAGGCTTTGGACGCAATCCCGAAAATTTCGAGGACGTTCGAGGTAAGGTAAGGTAAGGTAGGGTGGGAGGTGGTGAGAAGGAAAGGCGAGGGGAGGGTAAGGCCGGTACGTAGGCAGGCAGACAGATAGGCGGACGGGACGATAGTGGAGAGCAACCCGGGCAGGCAGGCGGAAAGAGGAAGGAAGGCAGCAGTGACTGACTACCTGCCTTTTGAGAGAGATGATGGGAAAAATCGAACCAGATGGCAACTACATCAAATTTCAAAGTGTTGCGTTTGGGGATGGGCTAGGGGTCACAAATCGTGGAGATCGGAGTAATGGTGATAGAAGTTGGGCTTAGTGCTATCCAATACCTCTAGGATTACGGGAGGACGAACGGGGCATACCTAGCAACAATGAAAATGGGGTTTGTACATAAGTAAACAGGCTGTTGGCTGGGGCATCCGTCAGCCTGGGTAGAAACGGACCTACGATTCACCTGCAGTGACATTGATGGATGGCATAGAGAAGTGGACCAAGACAATCACGGTGCGGCCCCCAATGTAGGCCATTCTATTTCGTACCAGGCCGCGAATTGTCGAACGTGACGCCCAAAGACAAGGCACCGTTATGTCTTATGTCCCAACTTGTTGGTTGAGATCGTTGGGGTCCAGAAGTTACCTCTAGTACCCTGTAGGCTGTCGCCTGCTGCCTACCCCCTGCTACCAACCAACAGTCTGCAACGCTGTACCAACCGCCGTATTCCTGTTCCAGAAAGATGATTGGGCATTCTCAGCAAATGCAATCTCTCCCTGTTTTCCCTACTGCATGGTCTTTCCCAGGTAACTCAGGGCCGAGAGGGAGTCGAAAGCTCCCCACAGGCATCTAATGAGGACTCTATATTCTCGGAGCAGAAAAAACGGCTGTTCTTATCAGACGTTGCATCCGGACACGGCCCCACGCCGGCCTCATCTAGCGGGGTTCGGGCGGTCCCGCATAGCGACCCTAGTTTTTTATACACTTTTTTCGATATCAAGATGCCAATAGTTGCTAATCTGTCCCCGGATAGAAAAGACGACTTTGAGAGACCCTGCAGCTGTATTTGTAGTATCGAAATACGGGCGTCTGTTGATATTTGGTAAAATACACAGACTTACGTTGTTCTCTAGCCATGCGCCTTATCAGGCGTCAATCGCCTGCCCTCCTTAATGATTGGCAAAAAAGTATGAGAGAAACAGATCGGAGAACTATAATCGAACGAAGGATAGCCCTTTCTAGACACTTCACGTAGTCAAGGTAGTGAACCAGTCAGATTGGACGCAACCAAATGCCGTCGTACAGTCAATTCAAGGTAGACTTTTCCATTGACCAGACCAAGATTATCATTATCGTAACCATTACACCACACACGTCAGATCGTCTTCATCTGAAGCCTCTCCGACCCGTACGGACTAATCTGCACCGGCTTGCCGCCCGTCCACCGATAATACCCAACAACCTTCTTCACCGCGCCGCCCCAACCGAGCTGCCTCCTCCGCCACGCCTTGGTGTTCGAGCCGTCCCGGCCCTGCTGCACGACCATGGTAGGGTTCACCGCCGAGTCAGCCATGACCTCGACGTCTCCACCGCCGGGCTCCACCATGTCCATGTACATCTCCGTCGCCTGCTGCCGGCGCCATCTCGACTGCGGCGGCATCGACATGAGAGATATCCCGTTGGTGGCGGTGGCGGCGGTGTGGGTTTTGCTGGAGGGGAAGAAAGACTCGACCGTCCCCGCGGCGGCTACTTCGAAATACACCTCGAGGCAGCGCAGCTGGTCTAGGTAGATGATGAGGAGGCACAGGATGGCAGCGCCGATGGAGGCGACCCAAAAGACCCAGAACCGCGGCGCGTTGGGAGAGTACTCGTCGTTCATGGAGAGGATGGCGGAGACTACCGTGAAGGGAAGGAGGATGCCTCCGAGGTACGTTACGCGGTCGAGGGCGCGCTGATTCGCTTCTTTGCCGCTGTCTGCGGCCATGGCGTCTGGGTACGGCTGGTTATTGGTGCCTTGCATGGGCATGTTGACATCCCGCGTCTGAAGGACCGCCGTCGTCGGCTGCGTCCGGGGCCACGCGGTCTGCGGCCTCGGCGTCGAACCGAGCTTCGAGATGGCGACGCGGCGCTGGAGACGCTCAAGGAGGGACCGCCAGTCTGGGTGCCGCATGCCACCGCCGCCGCCCAGGAGCGGCTGGCGCGCTTGGTCCTGCGCAAGCTCGAGGTTCTGCTCGAGAGACTCTGTCGCCTGCCAGTAGAGCCCCCCGTCCTGCAGGGATCCAGGCTGGGCGCATGAGGGGAGGGTCTCGAAGAAGTCGAGCCACTTATCGTGGACCGCCTCGCAGAGGATCTCGGGAAGGGTTTGCCTCGTGACATTGGAGTGACGAAAAGTGCGGAGAAGGCTGTCTTCGAGGCCTGGGAGCTCGTCGCCTTCGGCTATGAGGACGTTCCAGACTGAGGTGCCATCCATTTGGGACTCGTCTATTTTGCTTTGCCATGAGCGGGTGACGGAGAGTGGTCTCCGCGCCTTTTGGACCTGTGAAGATGGATCGTTCCAGATGGGGCGGTCTAGGAAGAGGACTGAAGGCGCAAGTCAGTACGTGGAATGTATCCATTAGGACCCGTTGAGAACTTACCATCAGCTTTGCTGTTCATCCATAACGAAGCCTGGCAGAACATGACTGCCTGCCCATCCCTCGACATCATATGAAAGGGCGCCTCGTCCATGACATCCACTAAATCAGATTGCCTTGCCGACGGCTTATACCCAGGATCCGGGCCATAGTTCCCCCTCGTAGTCTTGACCAGCTCCGGATACGCAAACGAAACAAAACTCGAGCCCTCGTCGTTCCTCGACGGTCGATGCCGCCGCCTCCCCGCATGTGCTTCGAGAAACCCAGAGTTCACGCCGAGGGAATCCCGCAACACTTGGACCAGATCCAGCGGCAGGCCCTGGACGATGGTGAGCCGCCTCCGGCCCACGGCTTCCCTCAAGAGGTCTTCGGCGTGGTTGAGAAGGCGCTGCTTGCACTTGTCCGTCTCCCAGTCGAGGACGTAGGCGGAGGAGCTCGACTCGGGGAACTTGCTCATCAAGGATGATCGCCGGACGAGGAGCGCGGGCGTGTTGGAGCGTTTTGTATGGAGTTCGGCCGAGTCGCTGGCCGTGAGAGGCGGCGACTGCTCGAATGTCTTTGATCCGACCATTGCTCCCTATTCAGTTTTGATTTGATGTAAGCCACTTTTTTGACCGTTTCGCGGTGCCGGCTGGGTGCTATGTTATGAAAATCTCCTCTTTTTTTCAACGAGAACCATCTCGAACGACGCCAGAAAAGAAAGATCACCCTCGAGTTTTAATAAAAGTGAGATTGAAGCCATGGCTGGCAGCTTGGTGCCATTGTTGGCTCATCAAGTGACCTGAGCTAGAGCATCTGGATTTAGAGCTTTCCCACCCCCCTTAGCTCTCTCACCTGTGCTCTAGTCCCATCTTAGTCCGACTTTGGGCCCAAAGTGAGATGTGGTTTTGGTGGTGTCGGCCGGCCATGGCAGCTCGGTGGCTGACTGTCGCGAAATGACGGGGATGAGATTCGCGTGCTCTAGTTTAGTCCTGAAACCATCCGGGGCAGATGTCGATGAGTAGTAGGCTTGCCACGTCAAGCCATCCCTTTTACTTGAAGGATACGAACAATGTGTGGTTTCGGAGCACGCTCATGATCAGGTTCGGCACACGGCACGCTTGCTAGATTGGCGCCTACGATAAATGCGCTTCAGAATTCCCAAAGTCAGAGAAAACCTGTGTTGGTTGTATGTTCATAGAGGTCGGCGGCGATGGTGGTAATTCAAAGTCATCTCTCATTGCCAGCTTATAGACAACCTCTCGATGAAGGTAACAGACGGCTTGGACGCTATGATTCAGTGCCTCGCGTACAGGCTCTTACCCAGCCCTTCTCCCCTGACAAGAAAGACATCTGAAGGGGCATACTTAGACGTCATGTAAGACGCTCTAACGATAACCTCCTTTACCGCTCCAAACTGTCTTGAAAGATGGAGGTGTGGACGGACGTTGTTGGAAGATGACGGGAAGTCCGCGCGCATCTTTGGTGTGGGTGGGTGAAGGCGCACGAGCCGCTTACAAGTCCCTCCCCATTAGGTAAGGCGCTCACCGAAGACACACTTCACCTCACCGACAAGGGGAACTGATGCTTTTTGTCGGGGTAGGTAGGTTCCTGGGCACCTCGCCCAAGGTTAGATTGGCGGGGTTCAAGCCACAACGCGTCCCATCGCGACTCATCGAAACAACTTCCCCTCGATAATTGACCAGAACCTAACGAAACGTCGCTGTACCATGTTAGCGCCGACCAAACTTGACTTTGGTATATAGTACGAAACAGAGCAAATAAGAGACAGCTGGATCATCACAATGGAGCAGGGGCGGGACTCCACGCTGCTGCATTCGCAGCCGGAGTTGTCGCCGTTGGAGGCCGAGGTGCTGGAAGAGTACGAAAAGTTGGCGGATAACATGAAGAAGGTTCGTCCCGTCACACAACTTTCCTATATTGCATTCAGACTCGGACCTTTCCCCCTTCCCCCCTTCTCCCCTCTACCCGATCCCAAAGACCTGCAAAGCTAACTTGTCCCCCTTTTTTTGTACCGTAGCTTGCTTCAACACTCGAAGACCTGAGCGGCTCGCCGAGCACCGAGATCCTCGACGGCCTGCGGGAGCTGGAGCGCAAGACGAGCTTGGTGTTTACGCTCCTCAAGGCGAGCGTGTACAGTATAGTGCTGCAGCAGGAGATCGATTGGGGTGACCAAGCCAGGAGCCAGGAGGAGGAGGAGGAGTAGAGGAAGACGAATACGTGGGATCACGAGGGTGCAACATCTATATTGGGAGGAGGCATGCTGCAATCCGCGGCGGTTTTGTCCGGATTATACCGCAAGAGGAAGTTGGAGAGAGTGTACAAATGCACGACGAGACTACGATCAGAGCAGATACCCCCCCAAAAAATACACGACGCCAATCACTTTACGACATGAAGATTTGCGTTCACTGTTCACGGGGGCAAGGGGGCCACAGACGGGGTTCTCTAGAGATTTGCGCTTTTTGTTTGAACATTTACAGTGGTATACAGAAGTGGTATACAGATTAATACACAGATCCGCCGTAGTAGACCTTTCTCACATCGACCATCTTCTTTCCGCGACCAATGGCAATCTCCTCCGGATCAGGTTGGTTCATGAGGGCCTTGTAGACGGCGTTGACGGTGTTGTAAGGGTTCTTGGAGCGGGGGATCTTGGCCGCCAGATCGTGGATACCGGCGAGACGGGCCATTTCGAATATCCTGTGAGAGACGCGGAGTCCGAAGCCTGATTGTGTGTTAGTATAACTGTGTCAAACAAATAACAGAGAACGAGGAAGTAGCATGATTAGAACGTACCTGGGGGACGGGCAAAGAGCTGCACAACAGTTCCCGAGATCTTAGTCTCGACGTTGCCGTAGATGGTGCGGTTTTCGTATCTGCGGATAGGCTTCATGTTGCGGATAGCCAGAAGCGTGGCCGTCGCTGTTGCAATACCGGGGTCCGTCGACTTAGCCTCTCCCAACCCCAGTCTGCCGTCTCCGTTACCGGCTACGACGATGACGGAAGCACTGCGGATCTTGCCCAGACGAGTCTGGTTAGAAACGGATCGAACGACGACTCTCTTGGTGAGAATGGAGAGAATATCGCTAATCTTCATGCCGGTGGCCTGCTTGAGCTTGATGAAGCGACCCGTGGGGTCGAGGCCGTCGTCCTCGACGTCTTCCGGAGGTTGGTAGAGTCCCTTGACACCCTCGACCTTGCCGAGCTCAGGGGCGAGCGCCGAAGTGCCCTTGCCGTCGGCTTCCTTCCACAAGGCTACGCGGGAGCGAAGGGGGTTCTCCGAGGTGCTCAGGGAGCCCTCCAGCTCGTTGAAGAATTCCTGGTCAAACTGCTTTAGCCAGTCGTCGGTTGCGATAGACGCCGCCCCGGCCTTCTTCTCCTTCTTCGCCCCAAGCACGTCGGCCTCGTTGTCGACAAGGAACTTGCGGCGCAACTCGGGGTTGGTCTCGAGCTCGTGCAGCTCCTCCTCGGTGAAGTCGAGCTTCGCGGGGTTCGTCTTTGAGATGTTGCGCAGCGCCCGGGCAAACGCCTTGCCCATGGTGTCCTGCATCTGGCCGCCGACCCTGTCGGCCATCTTCTCAATGTAGTCGTCGATCCACATTCTCCTCGGGAGCCATTTCGGCTCCACGGGCTTTGCAGGCGCTTGGGGTTTCGCATCGATGATGGGCTGGACCGTTGAGAAGTCGTCGATATAGGGCTGCGTGTAAGGATCCGTCCGTAACCGACCCTGGATCGCCAAATCTTTCGGGTCAATGGCCTCCTCGGCGGCCTGGAGAGCTTCCCACTGCTCGGGGGTGTACTTCTCCTTCAGAAACTCCTTTTGTTGTTCCGTGTACTCGGGGAAGTGTTGTTTCGCATACTTTTCGATGGCATCAGGGGTCGTCAGACCCATCTTCTCGGCGGTGATATTGTTGAATCGTGACCGCCTCCGACCTGACCTGCTAACGGAGCTGTGGAATAGACGGTAGGGAAGGGCGGCCGGTGCGCTCGAGGCGGAAGAGACGCATCTCGACAAGACGCTCCGCGCCGGGCGTACCGAGTTCATCGCAGCAGAGAGAGGCGACGTCTCTGCGCCAGTTCGTTGCCGGCAGCAAAGGGGTAGAATGAGGTCGTCGGGGAGTGGGTGCAAGTCGCGTGATGGGCTCTTTTGGTCTTGAGCTCAGGGTCGCGCCAGCTGGTCGACAATTTTTTTGGAAAGCTCAATTGGATCGTCTCGCAGTCAATTGCCTTGGACGGATCCAGACCATATCATTGGTCAGTAAGCCCGGTCTTCTCCCGCCCGTGGCCCGTGCAATCACGGGCATGACGGCGCGGAGATGTTCCTCGAGTCACATGACCATAATGGGGCGGACGACTTGTGATTGGTGTCATACCGAAAGGTTGCAGCTCACCTAGACTGTGCTGAAGTCCAGGGGCTACCTAGCTTACCTAATTCTGGAGTGCACGGTCACTCCCGTCTTCATCGTTAGCGACCGGCCGACCTCTGTCAAGCTTATATCGCAAAGCATTTGGACTGGAGTATTATGTTATACTGGTGACTCGTGAGTATCATCTCAAAGGTATCGCGAAGCCAAGACTAAGCTTTCCCGACCGGAAAGAGCGCAAAGATCTCATTTGATGTCGTTGCCAGCTCAACAACCACATGGCTAATCCGATGTGTAATAATTCTTGCCTGTAACAGAACGTCTTTCCCGTGAAGAAGCCCAGGTCCCCTTTTTAGTGCCGAAGTAACCGCTGCAGCTCGTCCCTGCACAGCCAATCACCCGCAGCAGACATCAGTCGACTTTCTGCCGCAGGCCTGAAACGCGCATCGATGCCGCCCCTCCCCTGGCAGCGACCTTCCTCACACATTCAACCACCACGATGCGGCCATGTCGCGTCCTGGTCTCATACCCCCAAGGCGGTCTAGCCTGCGAAAAGGCACACCACGGTGGTGGCATGGCCACCGTAGGGCCACCTCCTCGCCCTTGAAGCGCACCCAATTGTGACGTCTCCCGTTTCGAGAAGCCGAGCGGATCATCTTCCCTACATCTTGGCCCCTACTAACCCTCCTATTCTTTTCCTTTCTCCTTCTGGACTGCTTTTCGCATCTCGTGTTTCCTGCTGTCGAACAAAAACCTTCTAATCCGGTCCCCAACAATACGTACATTTTTTTTGTTGTTCCCTTGTGACTGGCGCACTTGAGACTCAGGCCTTCATTTTTGACTTTCCTGTACACCTTTAATTCCAACCACCACAGTCCATACCGCCCATCACAGGTGCCTGAGCAGACTTCGCACCTCCTCAATCAGCCGCCCAAAATCAAAGAGCGGCAAGGCGCAAGCCAGCACGATTCTGTGAGCTATCGCGCTTGCACCGCACCCGAACATCGATCAGCCCCGAAAGATTCGAGACCGCAACAATGGGCCAATTCGACTGGTTCCGATCTATTGGCGCGACGCCTGAGGCTGTCGCGGTTCTGAATGACCAGCCCATTCTCTTCACTATCCTCCTGATCGTTCTCGTCGCCGTCATCCTCCAGGGAGTGCTTCTCTGGTACATCCACTTTGCGACATTGAAGCCCGAACAGAAGAAGAAGAAGGAGCCGAAGAAGGGAGGCAAGGGAGGAAAGAAATGAGAGGGATTGCGGCCTGAAAGGCACGCATTTTTTCGGAAGATTCGTTGCGAAGACAGGCGCTGGGACCTGTATAAAGTGGTAGATCATCAACGCCATTACGTCGCTGAGGGAGACACAATGCATGCCCAGGCACTGAGGAAACATCGCGGTGGCGAGCTCTTCTCAGCTGCAACTATGGGGCGAGAGGTTGGATAATGAATTGTATTAAGGCTTCAGAAATGAGTCGGTTTTATGGTCGCGCTTGAGCGGCAGATACCACAGTTTGTGATGCTCGAATGTCACAGGCTGCGTTCGACATCCATTTCTTGCAATATATCTCTTGAAACTCCGTTCCCTGACCCCAGTGTGGACATTGGCGAAATGTCAGCCCCCAGGCTGCCAGTAGGTTTTCGACGGTTGATCTACTCGATTTAATCATCGTAAAGGTCAATTTCGCTTCCGGAGAAGACTTCGCTTGGCCAGATCCCATCATCATCATCATCCGCTTGGCGGTCATGCCTGGTTGGTTGGAACGACAGCTCCGAGAGCGGCCCCTTATCCTCGTCCTCGTCACTTTGCCAATCGCAGTATGATACGAGAGAAATCGACCGTTGCCTTTGGGGGTCATTAGCATGGTGGCCTTCTCCGAAGTCGTTCTCGCCGTTATCAGGGCCGAAGTTCGACCGATCACTGTAACTTGCAGGACCGACCGCGACCAGTTCTCGCAATGAAATAAGAGGTGGCAGTGATGTATCTGCCAAGTTGAAAGCTTGATTCGGCGTATGCCCCTCTGAGTCGGCCTCGCTGTTTGGTTCGGAAGTTCTTACAAAGTACGAGGAGGGTCGTGGTGAGAGTGGTGAGCTATAAGCTTCTAGATGGGTTTCGTAGTCCGAAATATCTTCTGGGTAGCCATCCTCATCGTCGAATGCTTCATGCTCGTGTCTGAGCTCGCTCCGATCCATGAGTAAGTTCATAGTCAGGGGTGAAGAAGGCAATAGCGGATTCTCGTCAACGGTCCATGAAGGCGACGTATTCTGGTCAAACTCCATATCGATGTCTGACAACGTCTCTAGGATATCGCGACCCTGATTCACTTCACATCCATCATTAGTCGCAAGGCTGGTTTCTTCATGGAGTGAAGCTTCATCCTCTGACATAGTTCCGTACGCAATCATGGCATCAATGGCCGGTACTCTTGAGTATTCCTCCGGACGCGTCAATCCTCGGAATTGTTGCTGTGAGAATTTAGTCTCTTCGCAAGCGGGTATCTGCGCACGTATAAGCCTCCAAATTAGGTGTCCAAAGTCATTGGATTCATGATTCTGAGCTGTGCTTTGAAGACTGCCTGTGGGGATGCCATGAGATGCGGATGCATAATCTCGTAGTTGACGAGACTCAATGTGATTAAGGTCCTGAAACACAGAGGACAACGCTGGTAGGAGGCGAGACCGACAAGTCAAGGACTTTGTCTCGGTTAGTTCTCGCGTCGGTATCAAGAATGGTCAGACGGACAACCCACCGAAAGATAGTTCATGTTGAAAATCTCGGGCACGAGGCATATAATTGGTGTTCTCGTCGTGCTCAGTGTTCTGATACCGCCCACAGCCCTGCGACCGACAACCAACGTGTCGAGACCAGCTTCTACAAGCCGACCTATGGGAGAAGCAACCTCTCCATCTTGAGGCCTTTGTTTGTCGCATGCAGCGGCAGCATCGCAAGGTAGAAGACATACGCCTGAGTCTTGGCTGTTGAAACGATCGTCGATTTCGTCGGGTGAACCCTATTCCACAGACGAGACGCCCAAACCAAAGCCACTTTCTGAATCAAGGCGAGAGCCATGACTGCTAGTCATCGATGACGTCCTTTGATAGGCTGATTCCATAGGACCTTCGGAGATGGATGATTCCTGATGAATATAGAAGGAGCAGGTCAGATGCTGCATAGTAATGACCGTTGTGTTGGGAGGTAGAGTTGGGTGTAAGACAGCTTCTTTATGCTCAATCTTGAACGATATATGCCGATGGCTGGAAGGACTCTCCACATTGCGCACTATATCGATTCCTAGCTGGGCCCAGATCTGTAACCGATTAGCAAGTGCCAGATATCATCTCATCAATAATGCTGCTTGCCGGATAGCTTGTTATGTCAGCGGCAATGGTGTCCATGAACACCGCTTGGTCTTCTGCATTGCTTTCCTCCCGGGTGAGCGAGACTAGGAAACAGCAAGTCTGAGCCTTGAGTATAAATAAATCTCCTGCTTGAATCCCAGCGAGCAGCTCGTTGATATTTGAAAATAGTTTTCGGTCTGTTGACGAGCGGAAGGAAACTGTACTTGCGATGTCAAGGACAGTTCCAGTGTTGGGGTCAGACAGAACAACTGGGTCAAGCGATAGAGCAATGGTGGTCATGGTTTGGGGGAAAATGGTACCTCATCGTCATAGAGGAACACTTCGTTTCGGTAGTTTTGGGAAATGCATTCAATGGAGAGCAACGAGTGTCGTTGAAATCTCAGATGCTCAGGTACAAGGTACCCTGAGGTACCACCTTAGGTCCATTTGGAAGGAAGGATTGTTCATCTCACTTGGGAAGCAACAACGTACCCGCCGGCAGAAAACTTCAGGGCGATACCTGTGAGGACGACCGACCCATCACATTTCACATGGCAACAACGACACTAATTGACTACACACTTATATGGGGGCAGATGAACCCACATTTCAGGCGTCATTATTGCTGCACTGCGGGTACGGCGTGCATGTACGAATCTATAGCAGCGAAGGAAACGGAGGTATTGCCGTCCTCGAATCTGAGTTGAAGTCCGGATAGTGTGATAGCCCAGGTGAGTGGGTGTAGTCAAAGTCTTGGGCTAGATGTTCGGCCGGAAATACCGGTCCGGTCGGATGTTGAAGGACGCAACTTTGGAAGAGGTCGAGATCCGAACCGTTGTCCCCCACATGTCTAGCGTTGTCGCTGGCCGGTAACGCGCACCCTATCAGCGTTGTCGACGATAAGCTACCGACCCCTACGAGTGATGAAAAGAGCGTTGCGCTGGGGAAATAAATGCAGAGCAACGAGCTCTTCAAGTCTTATCAAGATGGCCAGCTGCTGGCGGCGACTACTTTCCAGGCCGGCTTATGTTTTGTTGTCCACTTTGCTACTCTTGAGCGAGCTGAACGCAAAGGAAAATTAGGAGGGAAGAAAAGTTTGACAACTGCTTTATTACGACTCTGCATCTCTGCTGCATTTGTGATAAGGCAGTGACAGCTTCCAGGTGTTGGTTGACCCCACATGATGTGCTGAGACCCCGGTCGTGCTGTGTCATCCGCGGCAGGGTCATATCCGGTTCTCTGGGCAAGTTCTAGCACGTCGTTGCTACCGCCAACTCTCTGTATGACGCAGGCACCACTTTACACTTCACAACCTCTCACTAGGATTTGCCTTACTCACCAAGCCGGGTCATCTCCCGTAACACCAAGACAAGTCACTCCTAGCATTGACTGTAAAATCTCATTGCGAATAACGAATCCCGGCCAGCTTCCAGCCCATCGTGATTCCAACTGTTGAGCGCGTCATTGTCGGTGTACATCTTCCACGCGACTGCCACCACAAACACCATAACAACTCCGTCTGTTCACGACGGAACAAGCCCAGGGAGAAAAAAAAACTTAACGACACCACCACAGACTGCCTTGGCTGCAGCCCACACGACGACTCGTTGTTCACCCTGGCGCAAGAAAGGAGCTAGGATCTGCGTTTGTGGCCCTGCACCACGACACAACCAGGACGGCATCTGACTATATCCACCCACACGTCTCGTCCACGCCCGGGGCTAATTCTCCCCTCACGCCTCTCCCAACGACACACCTTCACTCAACCCGCACTGCGCGGAACTGCGTTCAAGAACGCCCGCCCGCTTTTGAGCATGCCTCTTTTCGATCTCGGCTCTCTGTTTCTCGACCACGTTGTTTTCATCACCAACCTTGTCTACATGAACATCGCTCTCTCCAATGCTGAACCCAGCCTACTCTTTCCTCTTTACGTTGTGTCGAAGCTACTGGCTCGAGGACCTGAAGATTGGGATTCTCCCACCGCAAAATGGCCCCCACCCATGAAATGGTAGCCAACTGCGGCTACCAGACCCCGGATGAACACAGCAATCGTCCCTCGTACTTTGCTACTCCGAACGAATCTCCTTTGGCATCATTGCCCTTACCTAGATCTCCTTTGAGACGGCCCCCCTTTGTTCCTCGCTCCTCTCATGGACCAGCCTTTGAAACGGAGGATAGCACGGCGATGCCTGCGGCCGAGCGGCAGGCAGAGTCGAATGAGTCTAGTCCAAACAACGCCAAACCTACGCTGGAGAAGCATTTTAGCTTGGGCAAAGTAGGAATTCGAGATCGGATCGCCTGTCATACCTGGACTTGGTTCACTATGGTAATATACCCGCTTCCCTGAACAAGGCCGATGCTAATGATTAGTAGACGATGGTAGGCAGTACGTGACAAACCATATTCAGAAGATACTGATTTAACGTAGGCAACCGGAGGAATGGCGAATGTGATACACTCTCGTCAGTAAACCGAGTACTACCTTTTGGCGCATATGCTAACTTGGAACAGTCCCCTACCAAGCTGCCTGGCTCAACGGCATAGCCGTAGCATTTTTCCTGCTCAATGTTATCCTCTTCATCATAAACTGTGCCCTCGCCAGTATTCGATTCAAATCCAGACCAGGGGCCCTCACCCATTCATTCACAGACCAGACGGAATCGCTCTTCATTCCTTCTGCTGTTGTCTCGTAAGCCACCTAACCGATTCCGCTGGGGCATTAGCTAAATATCTACAGTTTCGCCATCATATCGATCAACATATGCCAGTTCGGTGTGCCGCATGTAGGGCCCTGGCTCCTTAGAATCATGCAAATTCTGTTCTGGTTCTACATAGCCTTAAGTGTGCTTGCTAGTGCCACTATTTACCTGATTCTTTGGTCGACATTGTGAGCTTCCTCTCAGTCTACGCGAGTAGTTTCGGTCTGCTTAACGTTTATCAGGATATTTCCCATTCATACCATGACTCCTACCTGGGTCTTCCCAGCCTACCCTTTGCTCCTCACGGCACCTTTTGCGAGCAACCTCATACAAGCTGCTGTACAAACGAACCAGCAGGTCGTCACTCTCAATAGGACTGCCATTGCTCTCTGTGCAGTCGCTACGCAAGGCGCGGGCTGCTTGATTGCCTTTATGATCTCTGCTGCCTTTATCTATCGGCTGATGACGCAGAAATTACCGCGGGATTTTCAACGTCCTGGTGTGGTGCGTAATTGTTCCTGGTACAAATGTTAACCAGTGACGCTGACCAAATCAGTTCATTTCTATTGGGCCATTTGCCTTCACGGTCGGAGGCTTAGGTAGGGTTTCCCTTATTGCTACGGTTGGATGCCCGACTAAATGCTCCAGTTCAACTCGGCAATTCCGCAGACAAAATTCTGCCCAGCAATTTCCTGGGCACCGACCTTGCCGTGCCCATCATCAAAGTCATGTCAGTCTTGATCGGGCTATGGCTCTGGGGTCTGAGCATGTGGTTTTTTATCGTCTCCGTAGGATCACTTTGGAAGTATGTGCGGCCAGAGAGCAAGATGCCTTTCCAAATGACATGGTGGTCATTTGTCTTCCCGAACACTGCACTTGTTACGGCCACGACCGCGCTTGGCAAGGCTTTGCAGAATAACGGATTGCAGATATTTGGCTGCGTCTTCGCAGCGTGTCTGATAGTCATATGGTTTATTGTATTTGTTACGATGATTCGGTGTTTGTACAAACGGGAGCTCCTATGGCCAAAAGATACCCAATAGTGGACATATTAGAGGTCTACTTCTGCAATGCAATCGAATAAACGAAAGAAAAGAAAAATTGACTGTAGCATGACATTTCGTGGCATGATCTTGTTTACTCGATGAGTTATTCCTTGAGACGTGAGATAAATCGGAGCCAGACGTTGAAGGTACCGATTCTCGGGCAAGGGAGAGCAGCAGCGGGTGAAAGTGGGGCTAGCTACCCGCCCAACCTCTCACCACTAAACTCATTTCATGGATTCATCCATTCGGATGAGACTTGTCCTCAGCGAGTCAATATTTCGGGACAACACGCCCGATATTTCATCTCTTTAATTTCCGGCATCGAACGCCCACAGGAAACATGTCGTGGGATTCTAAATCGGCGTTACATCGCCGACAGAGCAGCAATGCTGGCGCCACCAAAACTCTACCTATTCACACTCGCGAACAGTCGGAAGCAACAATCCAACCCAAATCAAGCCATGTAGCGGACGATTTCCTGCAGAGCTTCCTGGATCCTTCTTTTGACCCAGCGGCATATCTGAATGCTACTCTGCCGCCGCTTCAATATGGTGGCTACCACTCATCACGAAGCAATGGCAACGGTCAGGCCGTCCCGCTGGCCGACTTGTCCAACGAGGCGCAAACGCTGCTGTCCCAGCTCAACATCCACACGACGAGGCTTTCCGGCACGTTGACCCAGTTGACGGATGACATCCTCCGGAGCGGCAGCCGGCTCGCCTACGAAGTCGAGCTCCTCCGAGGTGAGACCCTGAGTCTTGCTGAGACGATGAATGAGACGCTGCAGGAGGACATCAAGAAGTTCGCGCCGAGTGGTGTGGATCAGGAGGCCAAGGGAACGGTACCGAAGGCCGCGGACGGGCAAGAAAGGAGAGAATCCGTGGGCGCCAGCAAGGCCGGCGACGACGAAGCTACGGCCACGGAGGGCAAGGCGGAAACCTCAGAACCACCCTACATCAACCAGCTGCGGACGCTGACGGTGGTCCGCTCCCGCCTCGACACCGTCATCAAGACCTTTGGAGACGCCATGGAATTCGTCTTCCCGCCGTCGGAGCTCTCGGTCAGCTCGTCCTTCCTCTCGGTCTCGGCGCCCGACCCGGGAGCGGAGCAGCACAGCACGGAGGAGAAGGGCCAGCAGGTGCTGCAGGGTCTGCGGGATGAGATCTCGCAGCTGCTGACCAAGTCGGAGGACCCCGTCAAGGGCATCGAGAAGGCGGCGCAGCGGATCGAGGAGCTCAAGGAGCTTAACAAGGTCTGGAAGGGCACGGCGGAGGAGAAGGGCAGGACAAAGTTCATTGAGAGCCTGGCCAAGATGGTGGAGGACCGGCATCGGGATCTCATGAGGGAGGTTGATCAAGCGAGCAGGAGGGATGGGAATGAGGGGCGGGCGAGGAAGGGGAGTGTTCATGCTGATGCCGCGGAGACCAAGACGTATCTCGGGGGTTACGGCTTGATGAGCCAGCTTCAGAAACTTAGAAACGGGTTGTAAATATTATGATTGATGAGGTCGGGCATCTCATGGAGCTTTGCATGCAAGCGGTAAAGCACTGGGTTCTGAGCTTCTAGGTGATAGTGAGAGCTCATAACCTATAACCTCATGAAGGTGAAGATGGTGGAACACAATACAGAATGAGAGATTTAATCTTTTATTTTGTCCTATCTCGATTTATCTTACATCCGTTGAAATCGAAGCCTTCCCTGGCTAGGTATACCTTATATCTAAGAGTGTTCGTCTCATCAGTCTTTTGGGTGGAGGTTGTACCTTGCGAGCTGGAAGTCTTAGGGGGTTCGGCCTAAAATCGGCATGCGCTGAATTGCAACTGGCAGGCCACCTCTGCTTGTTTTTTCATCCCTTCCACACACTAAGTGCCCTGGCCCCTGCGGAAGTCATCGGGCAACCCCGTCCAATAAGAAAAATTCACCCCTCCAGCGGTCAGGTACAGAACTCGGAGGCGCATGCGGTCACTTAGCGGAAAGGCTGACAAGGCAAGCACACACTGCACAGGACCATCTCGTTCCGCAGTACCCTCACCTTCCTCCGATTCTACGTTCTCCCACACAAACACCCCAGCAAGAGCTACCACCTCGAATGGGCGGCTGAATGATATCCTCCATATTCGAGAGTCGTGAATTAGAGGCACCTTCTCTGTCGAATCGACTCCCGAATCCTTTCCCTTCAAACTCCTCTTCCAGCGAACTTCGTCTTGCTTGAGCTCCGGTTTGCGACGGTCGCCCTACACACATCCAGACCGTACCATTCTCTCCAGGTACAACAACGCCACTCCCCTTGAACAAACGAATTGATTACATTTCCAAACGGCCAATACACGAAGCTATCCATCATCACTATAATGGCAGCCAACGAAGCAGCCATCCCCAATTTGGGGGGTGCTTCCGCTCAACCAAAGGCCGGCCGAGCCTCTCCGGCGCCCCAATCGAAGCGCGACCGCAAGCGCCAGGCACTTGTCGACAAGATCGCCAACCTGCAAGAGAAATTCAGTCGGGATCGTGACCTTGGGTACCGCGATCAGCTTCAGAAGGTCCAGGTTGACACCAACCTCGTACAGCGCATCGACCCCTACGCCGACGATGTTCTGAACATCATTGCCAGTCTGCGACAGGAACATGAAGAGACGCAAGGACAAGAGGCGCTTTCCGACAGCAACCGCACTCTGCTCCAGATGGCGGGTCCCAACTTTGAGGACTTTGTCCAAGGCATTGAGGATCTTGTTGAATACAGAGACTTTCATTTGCTTCAGCACATGGTAAGTGTGGCCGACTTTTCCCTGTCCTCACGTCGGCAAAGCTAATGAATGCATACAACAGCACGAGCATGAGCGTCGCCTCCACCAATACAAGAACGAATACCTCTACAAGGTCGAAACTGCTAAGCGCGAGCACCAAGCCCTTTCTTCAACACTCCGCGATAGACTCGTTAATACCCTGCTGTCAAGGAAGTACCGCCTGAACAAGGAGAAGGAAGCCTTGGAGATCTCAGATTCCTCTGCGCTGCTGCTCCACCCCAACCAGTTCAGCATCACCAACCCGGCAAGCCCCGGTGGCACTCACGGAAAACGCGCGACGAGATTACGCAAGGACGCCGAAGAGCTTGCCAGCTATGCTGACAGCAAGAAGCGCAAGAGGCACCCCGGCGAAGACGACGGCTCCCCCGTTCCGTCCCGACGAGCGCTCGACCCCAACAACACAACACCTCTCTGGCAGAACGAGAAGCTTCGAGTCGCCGCGAAACAAAATGGCCCAGCCTACAGCATTGATAAGCTCTTTACTGAGAAGGAACTCAGCATGGCCTACAACGCCGCAGCCGTTGCTTCCCACAAGCATATCCTTAGACACAAGCCCTATGCGAACGGGGGCTCATCCCCGGGCAGCGACTCTGGCAACGGCGATGAAAACGGTGAACACGACAGCGAGGCCCTGTCCGCTCCGACGATGGAACGCACCAGCTCCCATGCCACTAGAAGCACGAGGGCCGGCATCAATCAGAACCTGATCGATGCCGTCGAGGGAGCCAATGGCTTGGAATTGCCCAAGTACCTCGAAATCATGCAGCCACACGAACCTGCCAAACTGCCGTCGGTCTCTGTGACGAACTACTTCAAGCCGGTCAGAGGTAATACTGACGGCAACCTGCCGCAACCGCTGTCGCACGACGAGATCAATTCCGACATAATGGTGATGGACATGTTCAAGAAGTACGACTACAACCACAAGCCCGGCGACTCTATCGACCATCCCAATGGCAGCAGGAGGATCTTGGAAGCGTCCATTACGCCTTATACCATGACTCCGTACACAGGATTCAAGCCAGGCCCTCGTCCGGATCCAACAAAACTTCGTGAGGATTTGATGCCAATCGAGAGCAGTATTAGAGACGAGGCTCCCCCATCGTCCCTCGCGGCCATCGCAGCCGTCCCCATGAGCCGTACCAGCAGTGCAACCGGCGGCGCAGCGATGAGCCGACAGGGAAGTGCGCGCGGCAAGGGCCGTAAGAACCAGAACCAGTGATGACGTACGAGCAGTTGAATGGTGTTTCGGCGTTTGGGAAACAAAATGGTTTTGATCCAGGCAAAGGATATTTGGTAGGAGTGTATTCGAACGACTTTTGGGGGTAATCATCAACTCCATTGAATGCGGTCAAACTCCACAGCATTGAGCAAGCTTTCATCTCTTTTCTCTCTTTTTCTTTTCATGATGAAGGGGTGCATCTAGTGAACAATACATCGAAGCACAGCAAAGGTTGGCATGTATGATGTGGCAGAGGGGTGGTGCAACAACGGATAGACAATAGTCTCGTCCATATTTATAGGGGTGTGGCACGGCATTGATACCCCGATGCTCATAGTTGAAAATATTCATATTATCATTGACTCATCAAGTACAACTCACATCAGCTCCAGATTAGTTTATCTCTAAGGACCAAACACCAGCGCCCGTACTTCGATGCTCTCACGGCCCACAGCATCAGCCCTCGTCCTCGGATCTTCGAAAGCAGTGTGAGCCACGCGACCTCCCTCGACACCGGTGCCGTCCCGGAGACCCTCGCTGTCAAAGCACTCGAGCAGCAGCCGCTCGTCTCCCGTCATGCCGCTCAGGTAGTACCACTTTTGCTCCGGGCTGAACTTGATACCCGCCGTCTCACCGGTGTAGCCCGTGGTATACCGGTGCTCGATGGGTACGATGTCCTCATCGGCCAGCGTCGAGGAGGACGCGAAGCCCAGGGGAAAGGACTCGACGGGCGTCTTGTTGAGCGGGCGCCAGACGTTGATGATGCGGTACCGGCCCGCGAGGAGCTTGTCTGCTTCTTCTTCGGGGAGGTGCTTTTTCACGCGCTGGATGACGGAGGACGGGGTCTGGTCTATGTGCACGCGGGTGACTGGGTTCCGCGGGGCCTTGGGGTCGGCGCGGCGGATGGTGTGGTCGAAGAAGAGGACGCGGGTGCTTCCCGGGACGTGTTCCAGGAGGAGCTTCTCGAGTTCCGGGTAGTAGTTTTCTTTGACGGATTCGTCGTCTGTGAAGTCTTTCTCTGCGGAGGGCGGGAGGTTGCGGATCACGGCGAAGGCGTCGCGGTCCAGGGAGAACTCCGATTCGCGGCCACGGATGTCGTTGAGGACGGTCTCTGTGGGAGCGTCGCCGTAGTTTCTGGAGGGGGGACCGTCTGGGTTGATGAGGTTGTAGGGGGACGCGTTGTCGGCGGGAGCGGCGAAGAAGTTTAGGGTTGCGCGGACTTGGCCGCGGGGGACTCTGTCGATTGCCATCGGGAGATGAGGTCTGGGTTTGTGGTGCACGATGATATCCAGAGCTTTATGCTGAAGGTTGTGAATGAATTTTGATCTTTGTATTTCACGTTGAGCCGTTGATGAGCGTGGCGATGAGATGATGTTAGTGGGATCAGTGATATCTTGGAATATTTCCTTCTCCTAGCAGCAACCTTTTCTTTCTTTATATACTGTAACACTTGGATGCTGTATTTCAAAGCATGATGATAAATGAAGCCATTCAAAGCACTGAATATGGGCCTATGCTTGTGAGAGAGCAATCACGTCATTTGGAGTCGATTGGTCTGAAGAGCCTCGGTGCGGAGGTGATTGGGTCAATGGGAGTAGATTAGTCAGGTTGGAGACGATGCGTGGCATCTCTGGAGGTTTTCGGGTTCTTGGAGTCTACTGTGGTCGGTTCCCGGTTGTCGGGGTTTGTACATACTTAGAGGAGGAACAAGGCATGGTGGGCATTAGTCAAGGGCGTAGGTCAAAAAAGGCTTGGAATTACGCCTCGTTTGATTGAATGTGATCGACGGGCCTGCCTACTTAGGTGGGATACCGTACTCCGTACTTTGCACTATCGTAGACAAAGACGATTGAGGGTGTGAAGGATATATTTCTTTTGCGAATGTAATTGTCTGCCTGAGCAGCCACCCTTCCTTCGTTCTTGTCTTTAGCCATTCAACCGTTGATCCAGAGACGTACATCAACGCACATCAACACGATGAAAAGACGAGCGCTAGAATACCTACACAGTTGACCTAGGTAGCTGTGTCTCTCCTGACTTCCGTATGGAAGTTGTTATTAGTGGTTCGTGAAGATGTTTTAAAGTTCGGTCTTTGACAGACAGCCTTAATTTTTTCAAACGGCAAGATCAGATCGGAATGCCGAGAGCAGCCGGCAGAAAGTGTAAAATGCATTTCCTGCAGTTTTACTGCTTTGGGGGCCAGTGACTAAGCGGGAGGCGATCTGGGGAAGCTGGTCAATGATGACATTGCACAGTGTCCAACTCGCCGTGTTTGAGACAGTTTCAACACGGCCGCAATTGCCGTTCCCCCTAACCACACCTTGCCACAGCACCACAGTTACCTACCAGCCTAGGTACTGCCACCAAGCTCCATCTTCAGCTCGATCCCTCTCGGGGGATTCTTTCCCAGCTTCCGGATGGCCCTAAGCGCAATGGCGCACCTGGTTGCAGCGACCCTGGCTGCAGCAAGACCTCGCTTCTACGGTTCTACCACCCAGGGCCTCCTCTCCCACTCCTACCTACCTTACTGCGTACCTAGACCTCTACACTAGTCTCTGGCCCCCCCAGTGGTGGTGGCCCCCTTTGACTGGCATTAGGACTGCTCAATGCTCTGGTGGTGACAAAGGCTAATTTTAGCACGTCCCTCTCTCTCCTTTGCCCGTCCATCGCTCTCTCGCTAGGGCCCTAAATTAACCCCGACTTTACCAGCTCGATTCGATTCAATGTTTAGATTGACCCAAGCTTTCCTCTCATCTCGAAAAAGAGCCGTTTGGATCTGACTGTCCGTCACCTAAGTAGATGAGACCGTGAGCTACGGGACGGACTGCATCGGTTTTACCCACCCCCATCTTCTCCCGGGTCGTTCAGCCTCTATCACCTGCTCTTGTCTCGAGAACAGACAGAAAGACGCATCTGGGACACTCTCTGCCCCCCTCGTTGAGCTGGCTCGGTGGTGATGCTGCGCTCACGATACTCATACACTTCGTCGCGTCGTCGTTAGGTTTTAACGCTGTCAACTCGTATCGCGCGTGCTGTCAATGCGCGGCCCAACTCTCGCCTCGTCGGTGATGATGTCCAATATCCCGGATTACTCAACACCGACTCATGCGCGATGATATCCCCGCAACCGACGATGCAGCAGCACCAACCGCAGTCGCTCCCGCCGCCGCTGCCACCGCCGCCGTCCGCGGTGCCCAACGGCATGCATGGGCAATCCCCGTCGCCTTCAATGAGGCATCAGCACATGGCCGCCCCACGGTCGTCGACTTCGTCAATCTCGAGCAGCAGGCTCACCCTCCCGGACAGGAACGTGACGGCGGACACCATTGAGGATGCCTACACCCACTTCGTCATGTCCTGCAACCCGGCCGTCCCCCCCGACACGGACACGGCGGCGCTGCGGGAAGCTTTCCGGGTCCCGCCCAAGAGCGGCGGCAAGAGCTTCAGCACTTTCACCCTTTACGAGCTCATCAAGCAGTTGGAGACCAAGGAGATCAAGACGTGGGCAGAGTTGGCTCTCAAGTTGGGCGTCGAACCCCCTGATCAAGATAAGGGTCAGAGTTCTCAAAAGATTCAGCAGTATGCCGTCCGGCTCAAGGTATGTTCCTGTGCATGGTTCAATGAATCGCGCAATAGGCTGACTCTCACAGCGCTGGATGCATTCTATGCATGTGGATGCCTTCTTTGAGTATCTGATGGATCACCCTCACCCTTACTGGACAGAGATCCCAAATGACCCAACGCCCGTGTGTGAAGCGGGAAGGGATGGTGTGCTAGCAGAAGACGACATGGCTCTCCGAGCACTTTTACCACAGATTCGGCCCAGGCGGGGGAGGAAAAGGCCAGAGGACGACGAATTCGCAAAGTCCCCTTCACAACGAGCGAGATTGGACTCGCCGCCGACGGGGACGGCCTACACCGCCGCCCGGCCAGAGACTCTGGGTCCGTGGTCCGCTCATCCCGATGGACGCGCTACGTTCGGCTGCTCTGATCATTTGAAGTTGAGCGCCAACACGGGATCAGTGACGGGCTGGCCTCCGGCCCCTGACACAGCGCAGACGCCGCTCACGGCGTATCCACAGGGCCCGATGTCTGCGCTCACGCCGTCAACGCGCAACAGCGGGTTCTGGGGTGATGCGGAACCAAGGTCGGCTATTACTCCCTCACGACCAAAGGCATCTCACCGGCGACACGGTGCCAAAGTCGTTTCCTCTGCGTGGAGGAGTGGCGGACCAGGAGGCAGCGGCAAGACTCGGGGGAGACCGCCTATGAACAAAACGAATGTCGATGGCCCATTTGTGGCCTTCCCTGCCGAAGGACCGGCGTACAAGCGGCCAAGTCCCGATACCAAGATTGAGCCGGGCCCGATTACACCCCCGGCGCCAATACCCCAGACCGCACCGGTACCACCAGTTGCAGTCACGGAATTACCTACACCGCCGCATATACCGCGGCCGGCCAAGCCGAGTATCTCACTACAGGTTCCGGAACGTCCAGGAGGATCCGTTCGTCTCGCGACGCCGCCGCCTCCACCGATCGTGATCGTCAACGGAGAACCCCCGGGCGAAGTACCCGACATAATAAACTCGACAGCCACAGCACCACCATTGGAATTCCCGCCCGGTCACAACGTGCCCCTCCCCCCCGGTGCCATACCACCAGTAGACCTGAAAGCGCAGACCGTCCTGCCGGTCGACCCGCCGCCAGCCGCGAAAGGCAGTGGCATACCACCGCAACCCAACGACATCCCCATCGGCATGTTCGAGAACATGAAGGACCGGACCAACATCGACGCCGTCCTGGGCTATTTTGCGCACGAGACGGCCAACGGCGACTGGGTCGACGCGGACAACAACCCCATCGAGAATTGCAGCATCGCCGAGGCCTACGCGCTCGTGCACACCACTGTAGAAAGAATGTGGCAGACGGCGCCGAACCAGGACGCCTTTTTGATTAATCTCGCGGCGCTGGCGGGCGGCAGGGCGCTCATGACGACGAGCAAGCTGCGGGTGAAGCGGGAGGAGGAGTATGAGGATCGCGCGACGTACAGCTGCAGCTGGGAGTTCCGGTTGGGGACGATACGGGGCAACTACAACATGGTACAGACGGTTATGTATAACCGGTGGCGGCGGCCCGAGGAGAAGCTGGAGAAGCCGAATATGAAGGGCACGGGCGGCGCCGAGTCGGAGTGGGAGAGGAAGTATCGGGACCTGCTGGCGCTGTCGGAGAAGAGGGATAAGGAGATTCAGGCGATGCGGGCTGGGCTTACGGCGAAGCTGAATGAGACGTTTCAGGATGCCAAGGATCTTGAGAACAAGTGAGGGAAGTATGGGGTTTGTAATCATATGTATCCGAGAGAGTTGCCGACATGGGGAATATTATCAGGGGAAGGGGAAGCATACGGCGCACGGAGAACGTCATGTTGATGGCGTGGAATATCCAGGATTTAGGGGCGTCTTTCAGAAGAAGAAAGACAGGCAAAAGGGGGACGGTGTTGATATCATGCGGATGGCGTAATAATCGAAAGCGAAAGCATAGTGCTGGCGCAGGGTCATGGGAGAGCGTATATCAGGGATTGGGCTGGGTGTTTAGGCGGAGGGAGCAGAAATACCAAGCGAAAAGCAATGCTTCAGTCATCTTGATGAATATCCATCAAATGCTCATCACACGCTCAGGTCCACTACAAAATCTAGTGAATATCCAAGCTAAGACTTGAAGATAAGCTTCTATTCGAGTTCATTTCAAGGTGGACTGAGAAGGAAGAGTGGAGGAGGGAAGGGGGCTTACTAAGGTCCTCCAAATCAGAGGTCCAGAGCTATCAGCCAATGAGATGCAAATCACTCAACTACAACAAACCTCACTCACTGACTGTCGATTCGACGATTGCTTCCTCCTACTTACTCAATCAGTCAATTCTCATAGACTCTTCAGAATGCTCATCAAGGAGTCTTACGTAGACGTGCCGACCAAGGCCGACGGCAAGGATGGTTCCATGAGTTCGTGCCAACCGACCTCGTAATAATGGTACTCGAAAGCTAACAATGGTAACAGGAATCTTCCTCTTCCACCCTTCCATTCCAGGCTATCCCCAGGCGTAAGTGATCTTGATTCAAAAATCAGATTGAAAATCCCCAACTCACAGATACTGCAGCAAGTTCCCCGGTGTCTGCCTCTTCTCTGAAATCTACCAAGGTCAGTCAGATCATGCCTCTTCTCCATGGCGGCGGCGGGGTCTACCCAAAAAAGCTGCCCTTTCCCCCGCACTGGGGGGTGCTCGACCCCTCCACCCCACCCTCACCGATCCTACACCGAGTTCACCGAGTTGTTGACCAAGTACTTTGACTTCGCTTCACTTTATGTCTTCGACTGTTATTGGCTTGCCATACAACATAATCCCATTTCAGACTTGAATCGCATGCGAATGATACATGAACTCCGTCTTCTCGTGAAAATAAACTAACAAGTCGACAGTGACCGGCCCCGTCGCCCGCTTCGCTCGACAGATCGCAGGACAGGGCTACATCGTCGCCGCGCCCTCGTCCTACCACGACTTCACCGGCCCAGAGGCCCTGGCCTACGATGTTCCCGGCACCGACAAGGGCAACGCCTGGAAGGTTGAAAAGGTACGCCCTCATCTTCGCTAGCCTTCTTATCTCTACATAGGTAGACCTCACGGAGAAATACTTTGGCTGACCATCGTGAACACTGTCATCAAGACCCTCGAGTCCTACGACGAAGACTCCCGCCGCACCGTAGACCACCTCCTCACCCTCCCAACCTGCACCGGCAAAATAGGCAGCACGGGAATGTGCCTAGGCGGCCACCTCGCCGTCAGAGCCTCCGTACGTCTCTCACCCCCTTTCCCCTTCCATGCCCCTCTCTCACCCCCGCTCCTCCTCAACCTCTCCCTCCACCTCCAAACTCCCACCTCTCACCAGAAACCCACTCACAATCCTCCCCAAACTAACCACCCAACCAACAGCTCGATCCCCGAATCACCTCCTGCGTAGCCTACTTCGGAACAGACATCCACACCCGCACCCTAGGCCCCCACACCTCCGCAAACTCCTCCCCAACAGCCCCCGAAAACAGCACCCACACCCTAGACCTCTTCGCCACGAACCTCACCCACGCAGAGGTGGCCATGATCTTCGGCGTGAAAGACACCCACGTCCCCGCGGAAGGCCGCGACCTCATCCGCGCCAAGCTCCGCGAGGCAGGCGTCACGACGAGCTTCTACGAGTTCGCGTGGGCCCAGCACGCCTTTATCCGCGACGAGTTGAGCAAGGGACGGTATGACCCCGCTATTACAAAGGTCTGCTTTGAGATTCTGCTCGAGTTGTTTGGGAGGACGCTGAAGCTGGATTTGGGCCCCTTGGAGGGCGTTGGCGAGGTTGAGCACGTTTGCTAGGTACTAAAGTAAACAAGTGTTGACGACCTAGGAGAAAGTTTCTCACATAAGGAGAGGCAAGCCAAGCATTGTTAAGAGGAATAGTATTTATCTGCGGACAACATGTCATCATACTCTATTCGTAATCTATCTGTTCCCCCCATGTGAAGTTTGTGTAAGGAAATTCATTAGGCATGGGGAAGCCAGTCTCAATGCCCACGTAAAAGAAAACGCCCGGGGTTTTGTGTCAGACAATTGACCGGCTGGTATTAATCTTTCTCCGATTTTTTTTTGCTGCTTCTCCTTCTTTTACTTTGTTACTCTTTTCGTGCCATCCTTAGCGTCCCCCTTTACTGCTTCTTTGAAGTGCTCGGCTGAACCTCCTGCTGGGTGCTGGATACACTGCGTCCACGAGGACGCTGGCCCGATGGGGCGCTCTGGAGTGGGTGGGGGGTAAGGTTGGTGTTGTGGGGAGGCGAGATAGTGGGAGACAGGGACTGTCCGTAGGCGCCGGAGTAACCGGTTGATTGGGCGCCGTAGTAGGGAGAGTTGTAGGATCCTTGGACACCCGTCTCTGCCTCCTCGTCGTAAATGCGGTTGCGAGACGTCGTCTGCGTCAGACCAAGGCCGGGTCCATCACCGACAGGGGACATGGGGATGCCTTCGCCGGGCTTGCGACGGCCACCACCGCCCTTGGTGCTGGCGCGCTTCATCAGCTGACTGCGGAAGCGGTCGATATCGTTAGAGCGGCGGCGAGCTTCCTGGGACGACAAAGTGTCGTCATCGCCTACCCGGTAGCCCCATTCCTCTTCGACCATCGGGTCACGCAGGTTGAGTTCAGCTGCGGCAGCCTTCTCGGTTTTAGAGTCGGGGTTGCCGTCAGTTCCTTCGGCGGCGGGAGAGGGCACCAAACGCGCGGCCTCCTTATCCTTGGCAGCCTTGTCACGGGCTGACGCAGCGAAGGAGTCGGTGACGGCGACGGAGTAAGATGGGTTGCCAGGAGCACCAAGGGCCTCGCTACCACCACCAGGGGCATAAATGGGGATCTTCTTCAGAGCCATGGCCAGAGCGCACATGAACTTGGAGCGGCGAGTGGCGCGAACGCCATCGTTGTGCCAGTTGGACTTGTGCTTGATCGCGATCTTAAGCTGTAGCTTGTCCAAATCACCGACACCGGCAACGCCAATGGCGATATCGGGCATGAAGTCGCGGGAGTTATCGGAGTTGCGAACGAAGTTCTCCATCTCAACACGGAGGAGTTCGAGGTCCTCGAAGCTGGTGTCGTAGGAGACGTTCAAGTCGATGACCTCCTTCATGGCCTTGCTACGGGAGACGTTCTCGATCCAAAGGTTGTTGAGAGCGATGTTGGGAACCTGGACGACCTGCATCTTGTCGATACGGGTGAAGACGGTGTACAGAAGCGAAATCTTGTCCACGATGAGTTGCTGCTTCTCGGAACCAACAATATCGACCCTGTCACCAACGTCGTAGGGATGCTTGACGAAGAGGAAGATGCAAGAACCAAGGAATTCCTGGGTGGTAACGGCGAAGACGAATGACAGGGAAAGAAGCGCAGTACCAGCAGTGGCGACGGTCTAAATGGGTCAGCGGCGTTCCAGACAGAGTTGAAGGGGAGGGGGAAGCTTACGGTCAAGAAGCTGGACTGGAACCACGCGAGGAAAATGAAGACAACGATCAAGACGACAACGAACATGAGAACCTTATCAAACACGCGGAGTGCCTGACCAATGTCCTTCATTCCCTCGGTAATAGCCTTGCGTTCCTTGCCAATCTCGACAACCTTGCGAGTCATCTCTTCCAAGCTGATATCGCCGTTCATGTCGTTATCGATCATACCGAAAGCCTCGTCGGCCTCATCAGAGTAAGCGGGTCCAAGCACTTCCAGGAAGTCTTCGGGGTACAGCGAGTCCTTTCCTTCGACCACAAAAGACATCCAGATACGGCGGGCGAGAGCCTCGGAAGGCTTGTGCTTCTCGAGGGCTTCAATAACAATGGAGTGAGCCGAGTTGGGGTTGAAGACCTGCTTTCCAGTGATTTCCGAGGCAATGTTACCGAAGACACCGGTGATCTTGTCTCCTACACGGCCAATGTCACCGACAAGGCGGAGGGGCGTAGCGCTACCATTACCGCCCTTGCCACCCTTCGCGGCCTTGGCTAAGATCAAATCGAGACTATCGTTGATGACATAGTCCTCGTCCTCAAACTCGGGGCAGTACATAGGGAAAAGGGTGCGGGAGGCATCGTAGAGAAGACCGAGCAAGCGAACCTCACGCTTGGACTCCTTGATGCGAAGAGCGAATGATCTCTGGTGGTAAGAGATACCGATGAGCTGAACAATGGCCTTCTCGCCAAGGTATACGGCTGAAGACACAAATGTGGCACCAAGAAGACGGATCATGGTGGTAACCCAGGAAGATTGGTTGTTGTCGGACTTGAAGAGGGCCTGGAATGACTGCCATGATGCCAGGGCCCAGAAGAAGAGTGAAAGGGCAATCTGCAAGTTCTGGAGGACAGTAGCGTACTTGCGCGTACCGGAACTGACCACTCCACAGAAGAACATGAAGGCGTGAGGCATGAGCCAGGCGACAACCTTGCCGGCCCAGAGGGTCAACCAGGCAATCTCAATCCACACAAAGAGGTTAAATAGCGATTTCTCCTTGTTGTTGCCAATCATGACATCGTCTTTGTGACCCGTAATGGGGAGAACGATGAGTGGTATCGCTAGTAGAAGACCGATAGGAATGATGTAAACCAGGTAGCGCGTGACGACAGACGCGCTGGTGATCTTGGTGTAGAAGCGACCCATGGCGTTCATCTTGACCTCGTCCGAGCCAGCAGTTCCGTGGCGGCCGAGTTCTGCCTTCTTCTTGCGGCGTCCGCCCTTGGCATTGGGGCGGTGGAAAAGACCATGCTTCTCATTTGTACCAGAGGAACCAGAGTCCTCGTTAGAAGCGTTCATCGTGGGCTTCCTGGCGCCAGTAGAGGCGGCGCTCCTGACCTGGGTCAGGGGAATATCGCCGTCAGGCATGTCGTTCGACTGTGTATTGTTTATAGGCAGGAATCCCGAATGCCGCGGCGAGAGAGGTCCCGGCATGCCGAAATAGCGAGGGAGCTCTTAAGTTGTGTCGTATCTAGTCGAGGGAGGAGGAATGTTGGTGTAGAACGGTGATTGATGATTGTTGTACAGACCACTTGCTGTATAGTTGCAGTCTATTAATGCGCAGACGGAGCGGATGTCGAATCCAGCTCTTGTAGGAAACCAATCGAGGCGTCGTGTGAGGCTCGAGAGGAAAATGAGAAAAAGGTTGAGAACCAAGAGTAACGATTGGGTCTGGTTCTACAAGAGGTGAGCGCGCGTGTATGTTCTGTGTTATCCTCGTGTGTGACGACAACCCAATTCCCAAAAACGAAGGTAATTACAAGGAAAAGGGTATCTTTAGAGGAGGAGGGTAGGATGGGACAGGATAGGTAGGGAAGAGAGGGCGGGGAGGAGGAGAAAAGAGAGAGAGCGAGCGAGAGTGAATGAAGAGGTCGAAACGAGCGGGAGTCTAGATGAAAAAGAAGGCGAGGAGGGGAAGAAGCTCAGGGTTTAAGCGAAAGACGAACCAAAAATGGCAGAGAGAATGACGGCAAGGTTCTGTTCTAGTTAGGGAAACAGGATGGAGACGTGGGATGGTAAGGTGCGGTTAGCAGGTTGACGATCATCAAAGTGCAAGGCGACACGGCAAGCACGAGCAAGGCAATTAGTGGCAGGGCAAGCGGAAAGCCGCAAAGACAGGACGAAAGGGGGCCGCCGCCGCTAGACGCGTTAGTGGGAGGGACGGCTGTCTTGGAGCGTGCATCTTGGCGGGACCCCTGAACGGTTTTTTTCTTCCTTCTGTGCTGAGCCGGGGCACCCCCCTTCTGGTGCATCTAGTTTTTTTCTTCTCTTTTTTCCCTTTCGTCTGCTGGTTCTGGGTCAAAATCTGGCAGAGTACCTTGAGTACGTACTCTGAATTCCTGCACAGTGGACGTGAGCCTGGACAGCCAGAGGCCCAGAGCAGACAGCCAGATCAAGCAGAAAACGGGCCAGAAATCTCAAAGTGGCCGGCTTTCTGCTGCAGGACGGGCTGGCAGCTTTGATGCAGGGGACAAGCCACTGACAGGCGAGTTTCAGAAGTTCTCGGGTCGATTGCTGGGATTGGCCGGTACGCAGGACTGGTGGTTCCCGATTCTTGGTTGGTGGATGGTCTGTGATATCCACCTACGGATACTGTACATTGCTAGGTACCTACCTAGGTATCCCCGTATCTACCTGGTGGACTGCAGCAGGGTTGGCAGAGATACGTACCTCAGCTGGGTGGAGGTGCCTCTTCTCAGGTGGGCCTTGATGATGCCGTGCTCGCCGGTGGACTTCTTGGTTTTTTTCTACGCATCTATTTTACTTCCGCTATGGAATGCCGTGCGATTGGGGTCACTAGGACGCGGTACTTGCAAGTTACAGAGACATTACGACATATGAATGTTGTTGTTATGGACGTTGGTCATAAACCGTGAATGTATGTATGTATGTGCCTTGCAGCCTGCAGGAAGAAACTGCCCGGCAAGGTCGAGGGACGCGTCGGTATTGCTCCTTTCCGTCTGGGATGCATATCATGACATATCCGAAGTTTTGACACTCGCACAGAGCTTGATTACATAGTCACATACATAGTACACACGTCTGTAGTCGTACCTATGTGATTGTGAAGCTGTGTGTGCTATCAAAAGGTTGCACTGAGAGTTCTCTAGTGCACTTCAAGGTTCCTCGAGTTGATTGTGCGAGTGCCGCACATCAGACGTGCCGCAGAACCGCTTACGAGTGAGTGAAGCTTGATGTTCCTTCGTCGCCACTCGATTGGTTGTTGAATTTGGTGCCTGGGTGTAGTTGCATGTGCTGCTGCATGAGAGTGAGATTGCACATTTTGGTGAGATTACAATGGTGTAAGTTGTAACCCCATGTTGCCATGCGAGCACCCTTC